CTTGAGCACGCCACCGCCCGGGTCTGTCGTGAAGCCGGTGACCATCCACACGCTCCTTCGGGACTTGAACGTGCATGTCGACGGCCTTGATGACAGACTATCGCTTTTAGTGGCCTTCCCACGTGGGGGGGGTGCAGCTTGCGGTTGATACGACCCTCGTCTCGGCCCTGGACTCAGCCGACTACGCGCGATTTACCAGCGCCGCGCCGAGGGAGCCGCGCTCTTAGGTTAACGATTGGTGACCAGCGCTCAGGCATGCTGCGAGCACATTCGCAAGCCATGCAATGAAGGAAGGGGCCGCATGCATATCCTGACAGGTTACCTGCTGCGGCACTAGTGTGTCCAAAAAAGGGACGTCTCGCTCCGCACCTTTTTGTCTCGTGTTGCTTAGAGGGTGCAGGGAGGTTGACAACCAACGCGTGTACAAGCCCGGAACCTGCACCCCATGCGGAGCCTGTGACCATACCCCACTTTAGGATTTTGAGCGACCGGAATGTCTATCGCGCATTTGCTAGGTTCGGGGCGCCACGCGGCATCTGCGGGATCAACGTTAAAGCGGATTTGTGAAACCAAAAATCATGCGGCCTGAAGTGTATCCTGGCAGTGGGCCCCTGTGCAAATGCAGCGAGTTTTTTTTTTTTTTTTTTTTTTTTTTTTTTGTGTTCCTTCCTTTTTCTATGCGCCTTTTTCCGCAGCAACTGTCTGTCCGGGGCAGGTTAATAGGATTCGGGCACAAGAGGGCTTTGCCTTACAACTCCCAGCAGAGCAGTCGACCACGCCCCTTGGGCCAGGCAGCTAGCCACTCCGACAGCGAGCCACAACCTCCCGACCCCATGCGGCGGCGGATCGGCAGCTCCAGCGGGCGCTGGTGCAACTTGACTCAGTGGATTTGCTCCAGACACTCCAGCGCCGTGCTTGCACTTTCCAGTTCGTTCCCCCTTTTGTCCGCGGTCCCGTGCGTCACGCCCTGGCCTTTGCTTTGTCAGCCATCCTCGACGCGGGAGCCCACGAGGAGCGATCCATGCGAGCCTGGAAGCTGTGGTTCTTGTTGCCACGCATGCTGTTGCATCGCAGCCCTGGTGTTCGGAAGCTGCCCAAGCATGAGTGGATTGCACGCCTCGCGGCGTTTAATGAGGGGCGGTGGACCCAACTCCTGGAAGAAGCCCAGCCACTTCAGCCACCGGTGCCCCGAGCCGAGGTAGCGACCCCGGAAGCCCTCGCGGCCCGTGCCGCCCAGCGCGCACGCCACCTTGTGCACCTTGGAGAACTGTCCGCGGCACGACAGGCGCTGACGTCTAGCGCGCTGGCCCCAGGCACCCCCGAGACTTTGCAGGAGCTTCGTGATCCCGACCGGCGCCCAGCCGAGCCGTATGAGGCGCTTTCCCACGAGGTGTTGGATTTCCAACCTGACCAGGTCCACCTCCTCCCTGAATTGGTGCTTTCAAACCTCCAGCGCGCACGAAAGGGAGCTGCCCCAGGACCCTCGGGCCTCACGGCTGAGGTCGCTCGTGTGCTCCTTGACGATGAGGGGGCTTCTGATCTCTTCGTCCGCGTGACGCAACTCGTTGCGCAGGCGGCGGTGCCCAGAGATGCGGCAAGGGCACTCGGCCTCGGGCGCATGGCCGACCCACAGCCAGCTTGCTTTGCGGCGGCTGCCGCAGCACGTGCAGCACTCGGCCACTCCGACTGGGCTCCCCCGGCGTGGCGGGAGCTGTCTGCTGGTGAGAGCGCGCCCGTGGTGCAGGAGGAGGGGCCTTCCACCTTCCTTCGTGGCTGGCAGGGCCAAGCTGCAGCCGCCGAGGCCCGTCGGCATCGTGAGACCTTGCTGGCAGGCGCCGATCCTGCTGCCCAAGCGCTCTTGCACTCCCAGTCCGGGCCTTCGTTTCCTCACTACAGTGCCAGTGTCATCAGTTTTGTCCTATCCCTGCCATCTCTTCCGTGTTCTCCTCCTGCGCCGCCTGCGCCTCCCCTTGCCTCTTGCTGAGCGCACCTGCCGGTGCCGTCGCCTTCTGGACCCCTTCGGCGACCATCGTGCAGCCTGCGCCCGGTCAGGTGTGCTCCGGGGGCGCGGGTGTCCGCTGGAGCGTGCGGCCGCACGCGTTTGCAGAGAAGCTGGAGCCAGAGTCACCTCCAACACACGCCTTGCGGACTTGAACCTTCAAATTGACCGGGTCGACGATAGGCGGCTGGAGGTCGTGGCCAATGGCCTCCCACTGTGGGGGGGCCAGCAACTTGCAGTGGACACAACCCTTGTCTCGCCCTTGTCAGGCCAGGGCCAGCCCGTTCGGCGCGGGGGTCAAGTCGCTGGTGCTGCCCTCGCCGTGGCGCGCCGTCGCAAAGAGCGGGCCTACCCAGAGCTCGTGCGGGCGCACAGATGCCGGTTGGTCGTGCTTGCAGTCGAGGTTGGCGGGCGGTGGAGTGATGAGGCCGCCTCCTTCATCCGGTCCTTGGCCCGCGCCCGGGCACTTGAAGCGCCAGCTCGGCTGCGCCCCAGTGTTGTCAGCGCTCTTGTTGCCAGGTGGTCGGCCCAGCTGACCCATGCAGCCATGACGGCCTTTGCTTCGTCCCTTTTCAGGCAGGCTGCCGGGCCGGAGCTTTGCAATGCCGGGGGTGGCACCCTGCCTCCCCTCGACACCTTGCTGGCTGATCTTGCCCACGTGCCACTGGCGGGCGCATCCCGCTTTCCCAGCCGGTGAGCCGCACAGCCGGGAGCCGCCGGTATACAAATGGCTGCCCCCTTAATGCCCCCTAAGCACATCCGGGTAGCGGCCCGTGCGTGCCCGATTTCCTGCAGTCGGCCCGAGTCCCTATCAGCCCTCCGGACTGCCAGTTCGGGTCCTTCTGCTCCGTCGCCTGCGCCTCTCTTTGCCTTTAGCATCTGCTGGGTGTGTTTGTCGGCGGCACTGCTTCGATGTGTTGGGTGACCGCGCGCCCGCCCCTTTGGAGCGGGCAGCTGCTCGGATCTGTGGAAAAGCTGGGGCCACTGTCACCACGCACACCCTTTGCGAGATCTCAACATCTTGGTTTTCCCTGGTGAGGCGGGGCGCAGCTCACGGTCGAGACCACCGTTGTGTCAGGCTGGCACGTGTGTACCAAAGGAGCAGCTCTTTGCATAGCTTCGCGCGCAAAGGAGCTACCACGAGGCCGCTTTTCGTGCCCGCTGGTAAAAAGAAAGCTATGAACTGAGGCCTGAGCCTCAATTTCAGCTTTCCGCTTGTGCGTGTTGAACGTCGGAGTTTCAAGGATCCTCATTCCTGCACGCCTCTTGACGGGCTTCCTCGCAGCGCACCTCCAGCTGCTCAGCCTGCCAACAAATAACAACAATGACACACTGCGCTGGAGCTTTCCGCGCTAGTGTGGTCGAACGTCCTACCCTCCACCAGTCGTAAAAGTTCGGATGCAGCACTTGAATGCCGCATCTGAAGCCGGCGTGCAAGGATGTTGCCCAGGAGGACGTGTTGCTTGTGTGTTGGCCCAAAGTTTGCTCTGCGCAAGTTGTTTCTCTGTGCAAGTCGTCTTGTGCAAGTTCCCCTGCGCAAGTGCTCAGCGCAAGCTGCTTGGGCAAGTTGCCCTGTGACTCTGCGCGAACTGCGCTGTGAAAGTTGCTCCGCGCAAGTTGCTCCAGTGCAAGGTGCAAGTTGCTCTGCGCAAGGGCCCTGCGCAAGGTGTTCTGCGACATCCCAGCCGGAGCGCGGATTGTACTTCGAGTACTACTTTCGTTCTGCAAGCGATTTTCGAACCGGAGCTGCGGCAACGCACTTCGCGTACTACTCTCGTACTTGAAAGTTACGCCACATTCGCACGGAACCACAGCGAGAGCGCTTCGACACGCACGCTCTTCGCAGAGGGTTCGTCGGGTACTTTGCAAATTGCCGATCCCCGCAAAAAGGTCACGCAGGCATCGCAGAAATCGAAGAAAAAACAAAATAAGAAAAATACGAAAAAGAACAGCTTTTGGATATCGACCATGCCGATGCCTGCAAAGGGTCGCGCGGGCATGTCAAAGTCGCAGAACGTCTCAGTTTTGTAACCTCGACCACGCCGATCCCCACAGAGGGTTCCGCAGGCATGTCAAATATTTCAAGTCCTCAGCTTTTTGACACGGAGGGTTGACGCACGAAAATCGCCCAATGTCCTCAGTTTTTTAACATCGACCACGACGATCCCCGCACAAGGTGTCATTTTTGCAGAGTGGGTAGGGTCGCACCGTGCCACCTAAAAGACCAACTTTAATCTCGCGTTTAAGTTTCTTGGTGCGATGCGTGCTCGAGGAGGTGCATATAACTTCTTCGATATGCGTTTCTCTGTTGACTATCCCTGTGCAAGTTTCCTATATATGTCTGCCGCCATGCTATTGTCTGTGCACTTTCCGTGTGCGAATTCCCGGATCATTTCCCTACGCATCAGTTTCCCTGCGCATCTCGCTGCGCATTTCTCCATACACTTTTGCCATGCAATTTTTGCAATGCCTTTCTTTGTGCGCTTTCCTTGTGCAGTTTCCGCAGCATGTCCCTGCGCATTTCGCCGCGCATTTCCCTGTGCACTCTTGCTATGCAATTTTCACTATGCAGGTCTCTGCGCGCTTTCCCCGTGCAATTTCCCAATGTGGCTGCAGCGGTGCAGAGCATCACCGGAAGAACCCTTTGCAAGGCTCTCGGGAAAAAACAGTGCAACTATCTTCATGCCGCTGAATGCGGAACATCAATCTCGGAGTGTGCCTCGTGCCAAGTCTCTCGCGTGTTCCATCAAATTGGGTTCCGTTTGAGGCGCTCGATTTCGATGGAAGCTGGGGAACAAAAATGAGTAAGTGCAGTGGATCCCTTGTTTTTGCAGAATCGAAAGGTGCAGGTGGATTCACGTTGCTTGCATTTTCGTTCTTGGTTTGGCCGAACTGTCCATGCTAGCCATCTACCACCCATGAGCCTTCATTCAAAGCAAACGCGTCCACGCAACCTCATATGCACCATACGGTGGGGTGATCACCATGACGCTAGCTTGAGGGTAAAGAGGGTTCTGGCCAGATCGCGCCCATGGCGAGCCTTTTTGTGGAGGCGGCTCTGGTGTCTGTCTATGCCAACGTGGAAGCATTGCTCATTTGCTGCGCGGGGGTTTATGCCATGCATCGGCAAATCGTAGCGCCCGAGGGCCTGCGAGTTTTGTCCAGGCTGGTGGTGGCTCATTTGCAAAGCGGCAACGCCCATTGGATGTGTATCATTTGCTGGGATTCATCTTTTGAATGCCTGGGCGAGTGTGTGTCTCGCTGCTCGTGTTTTTTTTTTTGGGGGGTGTGCGTGCAATGGTCACGCCAGATGTGCTTTCAAACCATATTTCGGCCACATGAGGTTGAGGTCCTTTTCCCTTGCATCGCCTTTTCCAACTTCCGTGCCTACTCCTGGGAGCTGCTGGGAGAGTGGTACATGGCTGGCGTCGGCAGTTTCTTGACAATGGTGCTGGGAACACTTCTCGGGAAGTGTGGGGCCTTGCTTCTTCGCTTGGAGCCGCCCTACTCGAAGATCTTCATTCTTTGCACCACGTTTGGCAACGCAACTTGGATTTTCTTGTCGAGCCGGAGCGAGTCATGGTTTTGCGTGGTCTCCCCGTGGATAACAATTCCCCAAGTAGTGCTTACACTAAAGAGCATTCCCGCAGCTCCAGCTGCATGCGCGCTTTCTTACGCAGGCTGCGGGGTACTTGAAAACAAAGCTGAGCCAGTGTGCGATACGGTGCCCACCAACATGTCCGATCTGTTGCTTTGTTTTGGAAACCGTTTCCACTTCAACCCTTGGAATTGGGTGAAGGTCCTCCCAAAATGATTTGTTTTATGTTGGTTTTTCCAAAAAGCTTCTCTGATGCTTTGGTTCTGCTTCAGGTATCTTAAGGTGCCTGTGAGCGATACAAGCTGTGACGACTTCCATTTAGTTTGTGCTGCAGACCGCTGGAGACCAGGCGTACGAGGCTGGCTGGGGGGACGGCGTGGTGCAGACTGGGTGCGCGAGGCTGGCGCGGTGGACATGCGGAAGCCGCCCGCAAGCGAGACTGGCGCCGTGAACCGCCCCGAGCGAGGACGCTCGTGACATGCGGAAACCGCCCGCGAGCGAGACTGGCGCGGTGGACGCTCGTGACATGCGGAGACCGCCCCCGAGCGCGAGACTGGCGCGGTGACGTGCGGAAACCGCCCCCGAGCGCAAGACTGGCACGGTGGACGCTTGTGACATGCGGAAACCGCCCCTGAGCGAGACTGGCGCGGTGGACGCTCGTGACATGCGGAAACCGCCGGCGAGCGAGACTGGCGCGGTGGACGCTCGTGACATGCGAAAACCGCCCACCGAGACTGGCGCAGTGGACGCTCGTGACCTGCGGAAACCGCCCCCGAGCGAGACTGGCGCGGTGGATGCTTGTGACATGCGGAAACTGCCCTGAGCGAGACTGGCGCGGTGGACGCTCGTGACATGCGGAAACCGCCCCTGAGCGAGACTGGCGTTGGACACTAGTGACATGCGGAAACTGCCGGCGAGCGAGACTGGCGCGGTGGACACTGGTGACATGCGGAAACTGCCTTCCGAGCGAGACTGGCGCGGTGGACGCTCGTGACGTGCGGAAACCGCCCCTGAGCGTGCGGAAACCGCCCCCGAGCGAGACTGGCGCGGTGGACGCTCGTGACATGCGGAAACCGCCCGCGAGCGAGACTGGCGCGGTGGACGCTCGTGACATGCGGAAAATGCCCCCGAGCGCGAGACTGGCGCGGTGGTCGCTTGTGACATGCGGAAGCCGCCCCCGAGCGCGAGACTGGCTTGGTGGACGCTCGTGACCTGCGGAAACCGCCCGCGAGCGAGAATGGCGCGGTGGACGCTCGTGACATGCGGAGGCTCCCTGATGGGGCCAGGCGCATTGGCAGGTGACAATTTAATTTCTGGCGAGTTCAAGTCTCACAATATTGCATCCGCGGCAATGGAAATCCTATGTGGTTATGAAACGGCTGTGCAAGCTGATCCGAGAGGAACGCCGTCGAGTTCGCAGCTTGCAGCTGGGCGCGAGGCAGGAGTTTCTTCGGCGGAGTCTTCTACAGGCTTGTGACGAACTTGAGCGAATGACGGATACTGGCTTGGAGTTCGTCCTGTGCGAGCTGTCCAAGATGGTGGGTACTGTCTTACCCGGAGGGCGCCTTCATAGTCGCCAGATGTGTGTGCCCGGACAGGGATGAAAAAAGGAAAAAAGGGCAAGCAGCCTTTTGTTTCAGTTGGTTGCCGGGCAATGCTAACATATAGCACACCTGCCGGTGCATACGGTGCATAAGTGAAACCTTGGCGGCAGGGAAGGAAGGAAGGAAGGAAGGAAAGGAAAGGAAAGGAAAGGAAAGGAAAGGAAAGGAAGGAAGGAAGGAAGGAAGGAAGGAAGGAAGGAAGGAAAGAAGGCAGGCAGGCAGGCAGGCAGGCAGGCAGGCAGGCAGGCAGGCAGGAAGGAAGGAAGGAAGGAAGGAAGGAAGGAAGGAAGGAAGGGAAGGAAGGAAGGTGTCGACCATAGGACTAAGTAGCCTGCGCAATGTGACATAAAAGCAGATTGTGCGTGAATAGGAGGCAGGGCGAAAAAAGGGACAAGCAGCCATTGTTTCACGCGCAAACGGTGCATAACTTGAATGAAACCAAAGCGGCAGGGAAGGAAGGAAGGTGCCCGCCATAGGACTAAGTAGCCTGCGCGCACCTGCATTTTGCCCTTGTGAGATAAAAGCAGACTAGGCGGCAGGGAAGGAAGGAAGGAAGGTGCCTGCCTTAGGACAACGTAGTCTTGAAGCAATTTTCCGCCGTAAACACATGGCTTTCACCCCATGCGTGTTGGAAGCCGTTCTTGGGCGACACGTGATACGGCTGTCAGAGAAGTGATAGAAATCAGGCGCGGTGTGAGAAATCAGGAGGCTGGTTTCCTTTGGGGTTCCCGGGCTCCTCTTGTTTGTTGAATCCCACCACTCTTCGGGGACTCTTGCCGGGTACTTAGGGCGGCGTGCTGCCTTTTGTGCTGGTGCCTCCCATTGTTGTCAATTGGAAGCCTGCGATGAGCGACCCAGAAAGCCTTTACAAAGCCTACGGGGTAATCTCCCTCTATGCGCTAGTCTGGAACGTGGCACTGTTTGGCTTGGGCCGGCCTTATGCCCTTTCGATGAGAACCGAGAAGGTGGAGACTGAGAGTGAGGCGTCTCAGAACAGGCCTTGTGTGGTGCGGTTCCTCCAAAAGCTCCGCAAAATGGATTCCGTGGTGTGGGCATCCATCCTGGCCATAGTTGTGGGCTGCATCGCGCCTGTGCGGGACCTGCTCAGTGAGCGGGCGGGCGGCGTGCTGCGCTTCGTGGAGTCGTTCACCTACAAATTAGGCTCTGCAGGGATCCAGGTCTCCACACTGGTGCTGGGGGGCTCTTTGTACTTGGGTGGCGTGGCGCAGCTGGAGAAGCGCAGGGCCAGAGTAAAAACTTTGAGGGATGCGCAGGAGCGCGAGGGCGCGTCGCCTCAGGCGGGTGTGGAAGCGGCGGTGAGCCAGAGTGAGGTTGGCGGAGAGGCGTGCTGCGGGCTTTCACCCATGGTGCGGTTGGCAGTTGGAGCGACCTTAATCAAACTGGCGCTGGTGCCTGCGATCGCGATCCCTTTGATAGTCCTAGCTGTGAAGGCTGGAGCAACCGGACGAGACCAACCGATGCTGTTTATGGTTTTGATGATCCAGACGGGCGTGCCGTCTGCTCAGACCACTCTCGCTTTGCTGGTGTCAGCGGGCTTGCAGAAAGTGGCGGGGGAGATGAGAAGCTCGGACTGACGAGTTGAGAGACTGCGGGCTCCGCGATTCCCCCAACGGTTACCGAAAATGCGAAAGTGCACTCCCCATTACTTGTTCATGGTAGATGCCCAGCGAGTTTGTGGATGCGCATAATCGGTGTTGTTACAAAAACACAGGGCTTGTGCCGAGGCATCGTGTACCTGCCCATGTATGTCGCGTCCGTGGCGACGATGGCCGCCATCATCATGATAGCTGTGACTTTCTTCGACACCTTCGACATCGACGCGCCAGGCATAGCCGGCGTGGACCTATTAAATGCCACCCTGTGAGCGAAGGCCGGGGAGCTGCGCTGCTCGCAAGGTCGAGTGGCGCGCATGGCAGCCAACAAAAGCTGAGAAAGCCGCCGAGAGAAACTGCGCCGCGGTTACGTTATGAAGACTGACGAGTTTACCCCACGTTCCATGTAGAGGCACTTTTTGAGCACTGATGTTCTGAGCTACTCCCCTCCCAATTGCGCACACCCAGATAACTCGATACTTGACTTGGGGCCAGTGGGATACATTCAGACTATGACCCGGCACCCGTGGGTGTTGCTGAGGATCCTGATGGCTGCAACGGGTCCCTTGTTTTTGCCGAATCGAAAGGTGTAGGTGGACTCACGTTGCTGGAGGCCAGTGCCCGAGAATCTCCACCATCTTTGATTTTGGCAAGCGAATGCGCTGGGGCTGTCGGCGTCCCGCTTTGCATTCTTGGCCGAACTGTCCATGCTAGCCATCTACCATCCATGAGCCTTCATTCCAAGCAAACGCGCCCACGCAACCTCATATGCACCATACGGTGGGGTGATCACCATGACGCTAGCTTGAGGGTAAAGAGGGTTCTGGCCAGAGTTTGGCTCGCGCCCATGGCGAGCCTTTTTGTGGAGGCGGTTCTGGTGTCTGTCTATGCCAACGTGGAAGCATTGCTCATTTGCTGCGCGGGGGTTTATGCCATGCATCGGCAAATCGTAGCGCCCGAGGGCCTGCGAGTTTTGTCCAGGCTGGTGGTGGCTCATTTGCAAAGCGGCAACGCCCATTGGATGTGTATCATTTGCTGGGATTCATCTTTTGAATGCCTGGGCGAGTGTGTGTCTCGCTGCTCGTGTTTTTTTTTTTGGGGGGTGTGCGTGCAATGGTCACGCCAGATGTGCTTTCAAACCATATTTCGGCCACATGAGGTTGAGGTCCTTTTCCCTTGCATCGCCTTTTCCAACTTCCGTGCCTATTCCTGGGAGCTGCTGGGAGAGTGGTACATGGCTGGCGTCGGCAGTTTCTTGACAATGGTGCTGGGGGCACTTCTCGGGAAGTGTGGGGCCTTGCTTCTTCGCTTGGAGCCGCCCTACTCGAAGATCTTCATTCTTAGCACCACTTTTGGCAACGCAACTTGGATTTTCTGGTCGAGCCGGGCGACCGTCATGTCTTTGCAGGTTCCCAATGTGGATAACAATTCCTCAGTTTGTGTTTTTTGACCAAGGGGTTCTTACGTTCTCACTGTGGATAACATATTTTTCAAAATCCTTCGGGGTACTTAGGTGGGGGCGCTGCCTTTTGTGCTGGTGCCTCCCATTGTTGCCAACTGGAAGCCTGCGATGAGCGACCCAGAAAGCCTCTACAAAGCCTACGGGGTAATCTCCCTCTATGCGCTAGTCTGGAACATGGCACTGTTTGGCTTGGGCCGGCCTTATGCCCTTTCGATGAGAACCGAGAAGGTGGAGACTGAGAGTGAGGCGTCTCAGAACAGGCCTTGTGTGGTGCGGTTCCTCCAAAAGCTCCGCAAGGTGGAGTCCGTGGTGTGGGGGTCCATCCTGGCCATAGTTGTGGGTTGCATCGCGCCTTTGCGGGACCTGCTCAGCGAGCGGGCAGGCGGCACGCTGCGTTTCGTGGGGTCGTTCACCTATAAATTGGGCTCTGCAGGGATCCAGGTCTCCACACTGGTGCTGGGGGGCTCTTTGTACTTGGGTGGCGTGGCGCAGCTGGAGAAGCGCAGGGCCAGGGCAAAAGCCTTGCAAGATGCGCAGGAGCGCGAGGGCGCGTCGCCTCAGGCAAGTGTGGAAGAGGAGGTGAGCCAGAGTGAGATTGGCGGAGAGGTGTGCTGCGGGCTTTCACCCATGGTGCGGTTGGCAGTGGGCGCCACCTTCACGAAGCTAGTTCTGATTCCTGCGATCTCCATCCCTTTGATAGTCCTAGCTGTGAAGGCTGGAGCAATCGGACAGGACCAACCGATGCTGTTTATGGTTTTGATGATCCAGACGGGCGTGCCGTCTGCTCAGACCACTCTCGCTCTGCTGGTGTCAGCGGGCTTGCAGAAAGTGGCGGGGGAGATGAGAAGCTCGGACTGAAGGGTTGAGAGACTGCGGGCTCCGCAATTGGTTCAACGGTTCCCGAAAAGGCGAAAGTACCTGCGAACGTGTTTGCAATCAAAGTGGGCGGGGAGACTTGATCCTTTGATTTGCCGCCGCTGGGTGTTTTCGCTGGCTTGTTCCGTGTAGCTCAATTTGCCTCCAATGATGAGTGTTCCCAGACCCTGGAAGTCTGGGAGTGAGGCAAACCGTGGGATGCACAGATGGTTGTTGCTCACGTGTGCCGAGGCATCGTGTACCTGCCCATGTATTTCGCGTCCGTGGCCACGATCGCCGCCGTCATCGTGCTCGCTGTGACGCTCTTCGATACCTTCGACGCGCCCGGCCTCGGTGTGGAGCTGAATGCCACCCTGTGAGCAAAGGCCCAGGGGGCCGCACGTGTGGCACGCAAGGTCGAGCAACGTGCGGCGCGCATGGCAGCCCAAAGAACCAGAGAATCAAAAAGCACCAGGCGCCAAGCGAAGCCGCCTCACAGCTGCGGCATGAAGACCGAATATTTTTTGACACGTTCCATTTAGAGGGCCCTGTTGAGTATAGATGTTCTGGAGCCAGTCCCCTCCGAATTGCCCACACCCAGATAACTCGATGTCTGATGTGGGCAAGCGGGATACATTCAGACTATGACCCGGCATCCATGGGGGTGTTGCTGAGGATGCTTATGAACCTGCTGTTTATATCCGTGCGCGAGATCCTTTTGGATGGCAGTTTCCCTTGTTGTCTTTATTTGGACCAGGGATCCCCGCAATTTTGAACAACCCAGTTAAATTCGCCGGACCTTCAGGTTGGATTCACGTGGATTGTGTGCAACAAAAAGCGCCGCCGGGCCAAGTCCGCAAAGCCATTGTTCAGATTTTTTCTCCTGCGTATTTTTGCCCTTCGAACCGGAGACATCCGGAGCCTTGCGGAATGGTTAGCTTTCAGGCGGCCAAAATGGGCCAAGGAGCCAAGAATAAGGAGCAATCCTGCTGGAGCTTGCTCGTTGTACTCTGCGACTTTGCGACGATGTCTGCGGAATTGCGTTTCGCAGCCGAGTTCCCTTATGGGCGTGTCTTGATTTGAGGGTACCCCTGTTTGGTTTTAAGAAGGGAGACCAAACGGAAAACCACATGATTGCTTTTTGTTTTGGGATAGACACACCCCGGGAGAACGAGATGGCCGCGATTGCCCACCTTTGAATCAGAATCCCCCGTGCCGAAGGGCCGAACCCTGCGGACGCCTGGCCGTTTCTTTGTGCTTAGGCTGGCGCCCGTTTGGTTCAGATAAACACTCACACGTGTATTTGTTTGCCGCATGTCTATTTTCCGAAAGCCGGAGATGTGCACCAGCAAGAAGGAGGCTTGCTAAAATCGCATGCGTGAAGCACCCAGCCTTGGAGCGAGCTATGGCCGGCCTTTTTGCGGAGGCGCTGCTGGTGTCTGTCTACGCCAATGTGGAGGTTCTGCTCATTTGCTGCGCGGGAATCTACGCCGTCCATCGGGGCGTGGTGCCGCCGGAGGGCTTGAAGATCTTGTCTCGGCTGATAGCGGCTCACCCGGAGTTGCGAAGTGTTATGTTCGAACGGATCCCGGAAAGGTCTAGCAAGGCTCGCACGTGGTGCCATTTTCCAGGACTGAAGGATGCCTTTTCCTTTTTTGTTCCTTTGCTGGGCCAAGCGAGGTTGAGATCCTCTTCCCCTTTCTCGCCTTTTCCAACTTCCGTGCCTATTCCTGGGAGCTGCTGGGGGAGTGGTACTTGGCCGGCGTTGGTTGCTTCTTGACCATGGTGCTGGGGGCACTTCTCGGGAAGCTGGGGACCTTGCTTCTTCGCTTGGAGCCGCCCTACTCGAAGATCTTCATTCTTAGCACCACTTTTGGCAACGCGGCCTGGATGCCAGAAGTGGCGCTGTTTTCCTTTTTTTTTGGTTTGGGGGGTTCTTCTTTCTCCCAACAGCGAGCAGATGTGGGTTGCACTCCCTCTTCAAGAGGGTGAAGCGACAAGCACATCTTCTGCCTTGTGCTCCGTGCGAAGTGCAAAGGCCCACGGGCGACAAGTGGCTGAGTGACGTGCAGTATGCGTTTTTCCTCGCGGGGCTGGGGGGAGGAGGTGTCTCTCCACGCGGAAAATGCTGGATTGTGGTTCTGGCGGCGCAGGTGAATCCCCTTTTCTGCATGTTTCAGTATTTTCTGCACTGCCAGTTTGAACGATGAATATCCCTTTTGAACAGTGCCGAAACCTTCACGATGAACTGAAGCCTTTTGCACCGCATGTGGGGGATTTGGGGGAAAGCAAGGCTTAGTTTTTTTTCTTCTTGTTTCTTGTTTTTCTTCCAGGATCTAGGTTTAGGGGTATTTAGGGTTTGGGGTTTGTTGAGATTGGGTTTAAGGTTTGTTTAGGGTTTCGGCTTCGGCTTCTTAGGGTTGAGGCTTAGGGTTGAGTCTGAGGGTCTAGGTTTATGCTTCTTTGGGTGAATGTTTCAGGTTGTATGGATTAAGCAAGTTGTGTTTTGCTTGGGTGAAGGTTTCGGATGAAGGTTTTGGGCGTTAGTGTTCTTTTTCTTTTAGGGTTTAGGTTTAGGGTTGGATGGACCTCACCCCTCAGCCCCAAAAACGCCGGCCCTGCGCAGTACTTTGCGCTTCGGAGGACTGAAGCACTCAAACTCCTGCAAGCACAATGGCCACAGAGAGTAATTTGCCGAGCTAAGTTGAGCTACCGGGATTCTCGGCCATGCAGCTAACCCGTCCTGGGCGTTGGGGCAGATAGCTAGTCAACTAAGATTTCAGCATTCCTGACCCCTGATTTGGAAGCAACCTTTGATGCCTCATTACATTTGATTACCCATCACTCTGCACAAGAACCAGACAATTCAAGAAGCATAAATTTGGGCAATGCAACAGAGTGGCGTAAGGTGGGGGCGCTGCCTTACGTGCTGTTGCCCAACATCGTCAGCAATTGGAAACATGTTAGCGACGTTCCGGAGACTCTCTACGAAGGTTACGGGATCATCTCACTTTGCGCACTGGTCTGGAATTTAGTTCTTTTCGGCCTTGGCCGGCCTTACGCTCTTTCCGGCTTAGCTGAGAAAGAGTCCGCGAGCGAGGCGCCGAGTGCTCACAGTGACCGGCCTTGTTTTTCGCGGGTCCTCCAGAAGTTGCGGGGCGTGGACTGCGTGGTGTGGGCTTCGCTCCTGGCAATCCTCGTTGGCTGCATCGCGCCTTTGCGGGACCTGCTCAGTGATCAGGCAGGCGGCGCTTTGCGATTCGTGGGCTCCTTCTCTTACCAAATGGGTTCCGCGGGGGTCCGAATCTCCACGCTGGTGCTGGGGGGCTCGTTGTATTTGGGCGGCACGACTCAGCTGGAGAAGCGCAGGGTGGAGAAAGTCCTCAGGGAGGAGCAGAGTGAGAACTGGACACCTCAGACGGCGAGGCTGGAGTGCCAAGCTGAGCTTGGTGAGACGAACTGCTGCAGCTTGTCGCCCATGGTGCGGTTGGCAGTGGGCGCTACCTTTATCAAACTGGTGCTGATGCCTGCGATCTCCATCCCCTTGATAGTCCTAGCTGTGAAGGCTGGAGCAATCGGACGGGACCAACCCATGCTGTTTATGGTTTTGATGATCCAGACGGGTGTGCCGTCTGCGCAGACCACCCTCGCTCTGGTGGTGTCAGCTGGCTTGCAGAAAGTGGCGGGGGAGATGAGAAGCTCGGACTGACTGATAGTGGCTTGTTACATCCTTCCCAGATCACCCCAGCCCCTCCCAATTCTTGCGGTTGGGAGTCGTGCTAAGTTATGCTGGTTCGCTGTATTGCTTGAGCTTCTTTTCTTTTTTCCTCCCCAACAGCTGAAAGCTTTGGGGTCTCAGCCCAGATCGGCTGTGGGGTGGTGCGAGCACTGCGTGCTGTTGGGGATGTCACCTGAGCTTTTTTTTCTTTTTGCTTTTCTCTCCGTGTTTTGGCATCAAGACCGCCAAGAGCACATGAAGCCGCCCCTTTAAATCGTAGGTGTGATGAGCAGGGATCCCTTTCCGAGCTGAGGCATTGTATACATTCCTATGTATGTCGCGTCTGTGGTCACAGTGGCCATCGTCATCGTGATTTCTGTGACGCTGTTCGATACCTTCGACGCGCCCGGCAAAGCCGGCCCAGACGCGTTCCAAAATGCCACCCTGTGAACAGAGGTTCAGGGAGCTTCGCAGACTAGCTGCCCGGGCAAACCATCATGGAAGCATGTGTGGTGTGCGCGTGGCAGCAGCATGTTTTGCCTATTTAGATTGCTCTTGGCGCCATGGAGCAGTGTCCGGGGGAAAGCAAGGCGGCTTGCCATTTGGGCGCGTCTGAAGTTCTCCCGAGTTTGGCTGCAGTGATCTTTTCCTGTGTTCAAAGCAGGATCGGCGTGTGCCCCAAAACGGTCGCCTTGGCGTTCGCCAACGTGAGCTCAGCGCCAATTCGCTCGATTTGCCTGTGCCATTTGTCCGAGCCCAATGCATGATAGCTATGAGGGCTGACCGCGGTGAGGCTCAACCCTGTAGGTTCAAAGTTGGCCGCGACAGCATGGCAGACACTTCAGCATCAAGCCCAAGTCTGAAGAGCTCAATGAATGTCCGTGCGCCTGCGATGGTCTTCGGCAGCCCAGGCTTAAGCAAACTGGGGGGGGGGGGGGGCATTTTTGCCGCTTTGCTTGCAGTAGCTTATTGAGGGCCAGAAACCTCTTGCGCTCCAGGCGTGACAATCGACGTGCCCAGTGCTGATGAGGCTGAGGAGGCGCCAGGTTGTTTCGGTTGGTCGGGTTTCAGCAACTTCTGCGGTTGCGCTGAGACGGGATCAATGCCGATGTCACCTACAAATGGGACCTCGGTCCGCTCAAGTGTATGGAGCCCCTTCAGTCAGCTTCTGCCTCATGCTCGAGTTGCCTCTTGCGGGGGAATGTGGCGAGCTCTTGGACTAAGGTTCAGCGCCACGATTCCAAAGACACCCTGCTTGTTCACGCCTTTCCCGCGACCCTTGCGAGAAGCCGCTGGTTGGCATTCACAGCGACAGTCAAAGCTTCATGGACCTTGATCGTGTGCCAGCTGGATGCTCAGGACGAGAGGCGGCTGCTGTGCTTTGCGGAGTGACTCCATCGCTTTGATGCCTTGTTGCGAGCCAGGGCAGCTGAGCTCGTGGAAGAATTCCTGAAGGACGGGGATCAAGAAGGGCATGTTTCATGTAACCAGTGCTTTTGCAAGGTGCGCGTCTTTATTTCGCCATGGGGCTTTGGAACTTGTCAGATTTTGATGCCATATTGGCTGCCAATGCTTCAAACAACAGAAGTGCGAGGTTTCTACATACTGTGGATGGACAAAATCCTGCACCACTTTGAAACCATGGGAAACTACTGTTTGTTGGTATTTGCAGAGGAGTCATCATTCCAGGGTTTCTCAGGTGGTGCAGGGTTTCGTCCATCCACAGTATCTCCCTCTTCAGCGTTCCATCGGGCGCTGCTGGCAGGAACTCAAACGATGCCGAGCATGCTCAACTAAAGACACGGAGGCCTGACAATGGGCACCCAACTTGCTTTGTGTCGCAAGTTGGCAGGCGGTTCGCGACTATGAACTACCTACCGTTGAATATCTAGACAGCCGCTTGGCACAACTATTTCCTTTGTTTGGGGCTGTGCGCATGCACTGCCAGGAGCGTTCGAGGAATTTCGACGGCGTGATCAGGAGAGCGCTGAGTGGCAGCCCCGGGCGCTTGCTGCTTGGCGTGAACCTGCATTCTCCGAAGAACAGGTCATGTCCTGAAGAGACGCTGGGCTGAGCTGCTAGCATTCAAAGATGTGGCTGTGGGTCAAAACCGATGTTACCATTTTGGGGTTATCGGTGCACCACCCATTTTAGAACCTATTTTAGTGGGGATTGGCATGTTCACTGGGGGTAGGGGCTTTTGACCCATTGCCATGTGTAGTGCTGTTGCCTCAATTCGGCTGGTCCCACAACTTCAGCCGGGATGTTTTCTGTGAGGTTTGCGAAACCATTCGAGCAAAAGCATTATCTGTAGGCATGCTCTGCGTGGCGGTGCCGTGTGGGCTGATGCAACCACAAATGGGCAATCATGCTTCTCGCCGCATTTGCAGCGGTTCTGGCGAGTGATATGTGTGCAATTCGCTGGCAGCGATGGCTGGTGGCATGTCCTGCGCCTGGCATTTTGCTCTTGAGTGTCGCACGCAGGGATTGGGATGTTCACGGGGGGTACGATTTGGATTTTGACCCATAGCCAAGTGTCTGTTCCTCCCCATGCGAAGGCTCGTTGAGGACCACGACGATGCAGTTGAGGTTGTGGAGGAGGCCACCAACGGGGGAAATCGGCCCCCGCACACGGGTCGTACATGTGGGTGTGGCTCAGAATGAAACAGCTCGGGTTACGCGGGTTTTCGTTTCCATCTACCAAAATTGCCATGTTGGGTACCGTTTGTTTTTGTTTTTTTTGGAGCCACATCGCCATGGCAGCGTTTTGGGCCGGTAGCGAGGGGCCGAAAGGCATGCGTTTTGGGCAGGTAACGAGCTTCAGCTTTGAGATCCCGGACGGCGTCAAAGCCGGTGTCACGCTGAAGGTGCGGGGACTCAGCCCGGGGCAGGTTCGGTGTTTTGGTCACCGTCGCTGCCAGAAGTCGGGCGCGGGTTCATGGGCTTGTATTCGGGCTGACGCAGAGAGACAGAGAGAGAGAGAGAGAGAGAGAGAGAGAGAAAAAGAGTGAGATTCTAGAAGGGATCCGCCTTCTCAAATCACGCATTCAACTTATCCAGGGTCAACTCGTGCAGGGGCCATAGTGTTTGCCCAGAGGGTCCTGTACGCGCCTGGGCGGACACAGTTTCATAATCTTAAGCTGAGAAAAAAAGAAAGAACACCAAAAACAAGAGACAGAAGAGCGCAAGAAACGATGCTGAAGTTGAGAATTATTGAGGGTGTCTTGGCTTCTTGCTTGCCATGGTTGGGGCCGAGTTCCGATGGCAGCTGCTGCTGCTGTTTTGTGCTTCAGTTGCTTAAAGATATGCTGACCAATCTAGGCCGTGCTGAATGTCCACACCCGTGGATTGAGGGCATAGAGGGCATGCAAGCCGTGGTGGGCATTTGGGGTTGAGCGCTCCTGTTTGGTGTCGGTTCTGCAGTCCATGCTGCCAAGCTGCGATTGCTTGTGTCAGGTGACCGCCCCGGACGGCGTGACTCTCCACATTCCTTTGCCCCAGAATATCTTGAAGGGCGACAAGCCGGGGCCTCAACAACCGCTTTGCAGCCTGGCCACGTTTTCGCATGCTGGGCCCTACCTGCCTTACCTACCTGCCAGGATGGTCATGGTGAAGTCCTTGGAAGGCAAATGGGGCATCAAGCACGCGCACTGCTCGGCGGGTTTTCTGCGAATGTCAATCGTTTTTCGGGGGGCCCTGAGCAGAGCAAATGATCCTGAGGTTGTGCGGGCAGACGCCGCGACCGTTGTGCTCCGGCCTTTGCAGTGCTTTGCAAAGTATCTGCCATATTTGCACTGCACCCTTTGGTCTATCCTGGGCTTCTCAGGGCGAGCCCTCAGAGTCGCATCAAGTCGCGGGAAGACGTCGTCGCGCCCTCGGTTTGCGCAAGCACCCAAGGGGAGATTTCCGTGTGGGCAGCATGGTGCGCGGATGCGGCAGGCAAGGGACCTCAGTCAGCCTCACGCCTTCCCGGCACGTGCGTAGCATTCCACCATTCCATCCTGGTGCTCTGAGCTCTCAGTCGAAAAGCGTGCCTGCGCAATAAGCCACACTTGGAGCCAGGTGTGTAATGTGCATCTTAGAACAACGAAAGGCATCATCAAGCTGAGGCAGGTGCGTTGGGACAATTCTCACTGACCTGCCTGTGTGCGAAGGGTGGTGCCAAACTGGGCACCAAAGGGTGCCCAGCGGTTCCTACAGCTGGTCACGGACAAGTGCGGCCTTTCTTGCGAAGCTGCCGGCCCTTTTTAATAGCAGCCTTGGAGGTACTACACAGACCTCCCGGTATACCGGGCTGCTGGCTCCTCACATTGCCTTTCTATTACCTTGAGCTTGCTATGCTCCAGTCAAATGAGGTAGATACCTTCTTGGTGCAGTTTGGCATCACTGGGGACCCTGACCGAAGCGAGAAGTATGAGGCGAGCTTCAAGCCGTGTTTCGCAGGTTTCAAGGCTTGGCATCTTTCCCTCTCTGGCAGAAGGCCATTGAAGATGATGAGCTCCGGGGCATTCCAATTTTGGCAAGTGGCTCAGAAGGCCTTGGACAGATGGGTAGTGCAAAGCTTCCTTCCGAGGAAGGCATGGTGTGCTTTGCAGCTGCTGCTGCGTGCGGCCGCCTAGTTTTGACAACACTTCCCAACAAGTGCTGGGCGCATGCAAGACTCGCAGGGATCGCTATGGCAGGAACAGCCGACAAGCCACGGTGTGCCTCTTCTTGAGTGACTTCCCGCAACTGGGCAAGTGCCGCCGGCCAATTCGTTTTTAGCTCAAACTTCTCGGCGATGTGGCCATGGGTCATAACCAATGCCTCCACTTTGGGGCGATGAACGCGCATGTACCACCTATTTTGATGTTCACCAGGGGTACAGGGTGTCTGACCCGCGTGATACATGTACTCCAGGCCGGTTCCATCCGCCAGGAACAGCTGGGAGACACCATTTGCCAGGGTATCCGAGGAGTCGTTCCCTGTGCACCCGCCTCACTCCTTGCCATTTTTCTGCCTTCGCCACTTCCGCGCTTTTTTTGGGGGGGGGTAAGGCTGCGCAGCATCTTCACTGGCTATGGGGACATGCCTCAGTGTGGCGGCACTGGCCCTGACCCAATTCAATTGCAGGCGAGAGACGAAAAGTCTCCCCTGGTGTCTTTTTCTTCCTGGTGAGTGCACGCACATCCATTCGTGCAGGATAGGGGGAACTCTTACATCACGGAGTGCTTCCCAGAGTGTGATTTTGCTCGCCCTGCCGCGCTTTCTTGCTCTGTGGCACACTCAATTTTTGATTTCCGGAGCATGCCAGGTGGAGTCTGCTGAATGGGTGCAGTGAGGCTTCATGTTTTGGTGTACATACCTAGCATCAGATCCGGGTCGGCGTCGCAAAGCGCGCGCCCTTGAAAGAAATTCAGCCTGAGAGCTCCCGGGCAAGGCAACTACCCCCCTTTGTTCGGGAAGAAAAACAGGAACTATTCGCGTTGGTGCCACTGCATTGGTGAAGTTGAAATCTGGGGTAGCCTCTAGCGTGAGTTGAAGCGCCTCACGCAGTTTCAGATCTTCAGTTGTGGGAATCGTCGAATAATGCAATGCTGTACAGCCGCCCTTTGCGTGTGACCGCCTGTCTACATGTTTTGCGCAGTCTTTGCAAGACTTGGTGTTGGTTGCCGCATGTCTTGTGCGGCCCGGTAGCAGCTTGGAAGCATGGCATCATAAGAAATTGGCCATGCCATGCAACCACTGCAGAAGATCGGTCGCCCTTGTTTTACCTTCAACCTGGCAAGCTTCCCCCCTTGCCGACCCAATGATATCCCACGCGCCGAAACAGCCAAGCCATCTAGCCAGCACTGGACCACTACGGAGGCCACTTCAGCCACGGGCACGTTTGCAGCGGGCCAGCTAAGCAACTTGCTCACATGACAAGAGGTCTTTGTTATTAGTTCCCGACTACTTGGCGCACTTGCTTACGATTTTGATGGATCTGGAGTAGTGTTGCCCGACAATGCTCGGCCGATGCGCGTCACAGAGGAGCGCGGGCCACCCCGCACCCCTGTGGTCATGATGTTGTGGCAGCCTGGCGGTCAGTGCAGCTAAATGTCACGACAGCACGGCTATTCTTGGCTTTTGGGAACGCAGGCGACTTTCGTGCACTGCAACTTGTGGCCAGGAGAATGAGAACGGCAGAGAGTATTGGGAGTCATTGTGGGAGCTCTGTGAGGGCTATCGTGCCCCGGCAAGCGCCGCCTCAAAGTTGCAAGCTCGTGCCTGACGTGAGCCCAGGGGAATTACATGCTGCAGAGCCCCCTTTGGAGAGAAGGGCCTTGTCCTGGTCCAGATGCATTGCATTCGCGCAAGTCATGCTTGGAGCCGCGGGGTTTCCTGTGCAGTTTGCGTGTTGCTTTGGGTGCATGTGTATGTGCATGTGCATGTGCGTGTGTGTGTGTGTGTGTGTGGTGTGTGGCTCTATGCGAGTCTCCGCATGTATGCCATGCGCTGGTGTCCCGCGCGTAGCCTGCCTCCAGGAGCCTGTGGTGAGCCTGTCCATAGGGGTCAGGCAGATGACCCGCTCGTGATTTGGGTGTTGGGGACAAGTGATGAGGCAGGACAATGCGGTGAAGCGTGTTTGCCTAGTGCTTTGGGTGTCTCATTCGTAAGCATACGTCTTGAGAGGTGGAGGGGGCGCTGGCTGCCAATGGCTACTTCCGTGATGCACCTTGAGCTCGCTCTGCGAACCTGCCTGCTGCCTCCATCCTTCGATACATGGCAGATTTGTACATGGCCTGAGCCAGCCGAGGCATCTTGGCTTGATCGTGCCGCAACCCAGATAGTGCTCTTGGGGACTTCTCTGCAGCAGATGCCGGGTCATGGCAGCGGGGAGGCGTGCTCAGTGCAAGTCACCAGCTATGACAACGTCAAGGCCCCGCGGACAAGACACCCAGCCCAGGTGATATCTGCAACAGCCTCGCAACCCCGGACCCCTCCGGAACGTTTCCCAAAAGCTGCTCCAGCGCGTCCTTGCATAGAGGCCCCAAAGCTTCCAGCTGCTGTTGGGCAAAAAAACGCAGAACAAGCTTTGGGTTGTGAAGAGGGTGCGCAGCACGGTGCAAACCGAGCACCTGGGTAGCCAATTCTGAGCTTGCGCTTCTGGCAAAGGAGTGTCAAAGCTTCAAAGTGCTTTTCCGTAGCGGTGGGAAGTCTGGCAGGACGTGTCCCCACCGCACTTCGCCATGGTCTTTATGCCAGATCGTGATCACCTTGCCTTCGAACCAGGCGCCAAGGGATGTGTCTTGTATCCTGCGTCCTGCCGTGACATGGGAAGAGGTCGAACTGCAGATTTGTTATTCTTTTTGGGCGCGCGTTTTGAGGGATGCCGCAAGAAAGAGACGCCACAAGGGGGCGGCTCCCGTCTCATCGGCCATGGGAGTCGTTTTCCAGGTGGCCATGGGTCAAAAGGCCCGTACCCCCCAGTGAACATCCCAATCCCCACTAAGATAGGTTCTAAAATGGGCGGTGAATTCACCTACCAACCAAAACGGGATCCCACAACGGTTTTGACCACGGCCAGGTGACGGCCTCCAGGCTGGGCGCAGCGCCATCCCGCGGGAGGTGCTGGCGCTCCTTGTGGGCGTGCCCATCGTGGTGTCCACTTGCTTCAAGCTGCCTGCGAGACGGGGCCTGTGGAAACCACCCGCGGGTGTGGCTGCGGGTCATCTCCCACCTCCCCCCCCCAAAAAAAAAACACCATGGGACTGCAGGCTTTAGTCCATGTTTCCATTTGCCAGGGTTCCGTTGTGCGTACCGATTTTTGAGCCGCAGCCATGTGGGTCTTGCGATGTGTGGAAGGGAAAGAGGTGGCCATGGGTCACAACCCATGCTTCCATTTTGGGGCGGATGAACACCCGTGTGCCACCTATTTTGATGCTCACCAGTGGTACAGGCTTTTGACCCACAGCCAGGTGTCAGTCATCCGGCCAGCTTTGTGAAGCAAGCTCAAGCTTGCGCTGAGTTGGTACTGGCAGGAGAGAGATCCCTCGAGAGCCTGGGCAGCCTGCTGCTCTTGCGGGAAACCACCTGTCCTTTCTCCTCATCAGCAGGGGATCCCCACGCCCAGTTCTCCGAGAACGGCTGGATATTTGCCGTCCGCGGTCCTGACGCGTTGGACTTCGCCATGAATCTGGCTTCTTGGTTTGCACTTCTTCGTCAGTCAGATTGGCTGCAAGTGACCTGACCCAGTATCTTGGCAAGGACTCTCAGATCCAGAAGCCTCTTCCACTGCCAGAAGACCAGCGTTTGCCTGCATTGTTCTGGGGCATTTTGGACCTGAAGTACGACAGCCCGAGGCCTACCCTAGTGCCTGGCTTGACTGAAGAGGAAAGCGGCCGGGCCATGGCTGCCCGAGGCTCCAAGCCGATTCTCGAGCGCGTGAGGGTGCTGGAGACGGGCGACGGGCGCATCTCCAAGTTCTCGGGGGATGGTGCGGCCATCCAAGAGCTGATGAAGAGTAGGTACATGCCGAAGGATGGGGTGGCTGGAGCCCGAATTTGTGCGCAAGGCTCACGTGTGAACACGCGGGCTGGTGCAAGATCGCACCACCAGAACAGGTTCTTTCACTGGTCAAAGGGCCATGTTTCCCTTTGCCATTTGTCATTTGGCTGTATCCGAACGCTAGGAGAGCTCTGTGGTGCGTAAGTTCCACCTGATCTCCGCAGACAAGAAGCTGACGCACGATTTGATGGACCTGGCTGGATACACTCACATCGTGCCCGGCCAGGCGGGTTGCGTAAACATTTGTTTATATTTTGGCAACATGGGCCGCATCAAAACAGGGAGCCTAAAGGAGGATGTCCTTTCGGTTTCCCTTTGACCAAGGTGTTCATGATATGTGTATATATATACATACATATGCCTATACCTGTATATAGACACACACACATGTATATATGACTTTTGTGCATGTGTGTGTGTGTGTGTCAAAAGGGTTGAAGCACTCACCGCCCCCGAGGCCTGCTACCCGCGGCACTACCACGCGGACCTGGCTGAGCAAATCGCGTTGGATTTGGAGCTGCAGGAGGACGACAAGGCGAGGGCGAGGGGTCGAAGGGCCGAAGTGGCTGATAGGCAGGGAATGAGTTGGAATGACCCCAAGGCCGGCTATACCAAAAGGCCACCTATGCCTGTGCTGCGGTGCTGCCACCACCAAAGAAGGAAAAAGGGCCATGGGTCAAAACTGTTTTGGGATCCCATTTTGGGGTTTTCGGTGAATTCACCGCCCATTTTAGAACCTATTTTAGTGGGGATTGGGATGTTCACTGGGGGTACGATTTGGATTTTGACCCATGGCCAAGTGAGCGTGGCTTCCTTTTCTCGCTGGCGCGATAGGCAGGGAATGAGTTGGAATGACCCCAAGAAAAACCATCCAGCGGGTGGTTTCCTTTATGGGAGTACCAAAACGGTTCATTCCCTCGTTCCCTACCTGACAGCCAGCAAGTTTTCGCTTTCCTTCCAAGCCAACTGGATGGGTTTTTGCCCTGCCAAACGCAGAAACACAAACAAACAAGCAAACATTCAAACGCCTTAAAGCCAGCCGAAAGTGTAACCAGGCAACAAATCGCGGCGAGTGTGGCGAGTGTGGCGAGTCTCGCTGCCAGGTGGTCTTGAAGTTGTGCAACCGCTCTCGAGCAGCTGGAGTCATAGTTGCACCGCTGGACGAACTGGATGAGGTGTTGGAGGAGATCTTGGTCTCTCCGCCGAAGCCATGCAGCATTTTTGTCGAAAATTTGGTCCTGGGTCCTGGTGCCTTGGGAAGAGTGGATGCCCGGCGGACCATGGAATGGTAGTTGGAGCTGAGGAAGATGGAGGTTTGGCTAGATGAACGCACGCAGCAGCAGGCCAGGATTTTGTGCGACATTGAGTTTCCAGGAGGGGCTCCGAAGATGCACGGGGGCATGGCCAACGTTGTGAGTGCCGCCTTCTACTGCCTTCAGGTGCAAGTGGGGCAGTTCGGCTTCACGTGGGGCTGCTTTGAAGAGCAGAAGCGGCACTGGTGGGCCAATGCTCCTTGGTTTGACGTCTGTGTCAGTTGCAGGCCCCAAGGGGCCTCTGGCCGAGGAATGCCCCTGCTTTGTGGCCGAGCGATGGTGCACCTCGACTCCGGTTCTCAAAGAAGGCAGGGACAGCTCGGCATCTTTCCCGCGTAAATCTCTGTAGCTAACTCAAAGGTCAATGGGTTTTGGGTGCTCAGTGCTGCTCGCGCGGTGTCGTGCATCCGCAATGTACCCATTGAAGGATGCAATCAGATAAATGCATATTGGACTTCATGGTGGTGTCTGTGCGATTCAGAGCAGCCTCTGTTCATGTTCTCCATGTCTTGTTTCTATCTGCGGTTCACGTAGTTTGCAAAGGGGGGCTTTTTGCTGGACCGCTCGCAGATGGGTTCCTTGAATTGCAGCAAGCATGCCTCTTTGGTGGGCAGGTAAGCTGTTTGATGGAACGATGCGTGTCGGCTTTGTCTTGCTGCACAAGAAGGAAGTGCCACTTGCCGGAACAATGGTGTCAGCATCACGTTTCCGCATGCAATTGGCAGAGTTCGCAGCAAGGTCGAAGGGAGTGGACCAGAAGCCCAACTCAGCCGATGGGCCCAACGGAGGAGGCACCTTCACTTTTCCAGGAAAAACAATTATGGGAAAGCAGGCTTGCCAGAAAGAAAAAAAAGCGCCCATGATTTTTAGACCTCGCCTCAGCAGATGCCACCAATTTTTTCAGCTGGATGAAACAGCTGGTGCAGATCTTGGTGGTAGCAAATATTCAAATGAGAACTTTGAAGCCCACTTCTGCCCAGATGCCAGAGAGGCGCTTCCGACGTGCCGATCCAGCCGGAGGAGCTGGCAGTGCACTGGCTGGGCGGCTACTGGAAGCTCCCGAAGCTTGCCCGGGTTCTTGGCTCCCCCCCTTTTTTTTTGTGGCTTTTTTGGGGTCCCCTTCGTTTTCCACTAGCCCGGGCAAAACGGTTGATTTTAGCTGGGGTCCGAATTCCAGCCTAGGAAGCAGGACATGGGTTCCACGGAGCTGCGGGATCGCGTGGTCAGTGCCTTGGCGAGCTGGCGAGCTTCGCCGGCTTCTTACGCCGGCTGCGGTGCGCATGGCGTCGGTTCTTTTTTTGAAGTCTGCCCGTCTTTAGGCTGGGACCAGAACTTTCGGGGTGGTCCCGTGGGCTCACGCACACGTGGGACTCTCATGCAAGTACTTTGCTATGAAGTTTTCTGGCCAAAGCGGGCGCAACATTGGCACAAAGAGATCTCAAGCCTGCAGTTTGAAGTCCGTGCAGCGCATTGTAGCGGCAGAAAGGCGACCGCCACGCTAGGCCATACGGCCGTACATGGCAATGTGTTGACCACCCGTAATCGAGCTATACCAGGGTCTCGGAGACTGTGGCGTATGCCTTGCCATGCCGCATATTTGCCTAGATTGATACTCCAAATTTGAACCTGAATAGCTGGTCGAAAGATGATCACATGTTCATGTCATGCCACGTCGCACCACGAGCCGTTGATTGCTTCTGCTGTCCCTTCGCCCGTAGATGTGCTTTGTTCTGCCTCGCCGCACCGTTTGCCTCCTGCGGCGTCATGTCGTCATGTTCCGCCTCAGGTTATGTTGGCACACTCTGGTTCTTCATGTTGGCTTAAGGCATGCCTGCGCTTTCCAGCGCAAATCGGTGGAAATCGGAAAGCCTTTGGTCATGGGCCATTCAGCTGGCGAAAGGGGCAAGATCTGCCAGGTGCAGCCAGAACTTCCGGGACTGCGCCTGTGAGGTCTTCTCTGCTGGCTGAGATCTACGCAGCTCTGGGTGCCTTGCCGCTTTCGAGAGGCGCAAAGAGTGGAAATCGGTAGCCAGGGGATCAGCGAGAAGGTTTTCGGGGCTTCCGAGGTGATTCGGTGCAACAGCTCTTTGGAGGAGTAGAGCCCAGCACCAAAATGCTTGCAGAGCACTACAAGCAGCAGCCAGAGATTGCGGCGTATCTCACTGCGCGCCACCTGGCCGCAGTGACAAAAGCCAACCCCAACAAACGGTGAGATCTCCAGTGAGATCTCCAGTGCGACCGCTTGCCCTAGGCTTTGCCCTGAGCAATCGCGAGCAGAGCCGCATGAAGAAGATGCTCTACGACGCGCAGGTGCTGGCCAACAAGCTGCCCGAAGCACGTGGGCGGCCCAACGCCCTAGATATCGCAAGGTCTTGCAAGCATATGGAGCTGTGGGTCAAAACCGTTTTGGGATCCCATTTCGGGGTTTTCGGTGAATTCACCGCCCATTTCAGAACCTATTTTAGTGGGGGTTGGGATGTTCACTGGGGGTACGATTTGGATCTTGACCCATGGCCATATGGCTGTGGCTCAAAGAAATGTACCAAAATGACACCTGAAAAAAATGGAATAAATGGAGCCAAATACTATGCTCTTGAATTTTGCACCACAGCCTGTTGCTTCTTCACAAGGTGGGAAGCACTTCACGGAGCCGCCCGGCAGCATCTTTTGATGCCGATGCCTCGTGTTTTTTTGGGTCCGGCTGGGAGCTGGGGCCAAAAGCAGTTTGGTTTGGCAGCTTCCCGAGGGCGGGTCGTGCGAGCAGCCAGATGAGAAGCGAATGGAAGGATGTTTGCGATTCCATTCTTAGCGTGAAGCCAGGCGTTGCACAGTTGCCTGGGAGATGTGAATCCAGAGAGTTCCTTCCAAGTCCCAAAGTTGTCTGCAGGCCGCAGGTAGAATCCGGCCTTGGAAACCACCAGAGCAATGCGTCTTGTCACCCTGGTCTCATGCAAACCCGCCAAGAAAGTATTATCAATGATCGGCTGGCTTTGGAAAGCCATTTTTTCAAAACTCTTTTCTTGGTGGCTCCCAGCCATCCCCTTAGCTTTTTAGCCGTTTAGTGTTTAGTGGGTCATGTGCTCCATCCCGCGTGCTTGCACCGAGCGCCGAGGTCCTTCATTGCTCGCTGCTATGGTGTTCTGGAAGCGCGCAGTGATGCCAAAGACCGCTGGGACACGGCGAAGCGCCATTTCCAGAAGTCTTTGAAGCCCGGGGCTGCAGTTGCTGGCATTCGCCGTATGCTTGGTACTGATACTTCTACTGTGACTGGTGCTGGTACTGTTACTCTTACTGGTGCTGGTACTGGTACTGTTGCAAATACTGGTGCTGGCACTGGTGCTGGTACTCTCTATCTCTCTCTCTTTCTCTCTTTTTCTTTCTCTGCAACATGTCAGTCGCGGCACCAGGCACCTCCAATCAAACGCCAACACCTTGTATCTCCTCGGCATGGCCGCGCTGGAACTTGGCAAGTGTGGAGACGCTGTCAGCTTCATGAGCAGGAGCTTGTCGCGTGCTTAATTGTGCTGAGTGGGGACCCATGCTTGGCGCTCGCTTATGCTAAGCTTGTGGGGTCTTTGGGTGCGAGGCTTCTGGATCCGGATTTCCGAGCCCCGTATGTGAATCTCGGGGTGGCCTACCTCCGGATGAAGTTATTCGAGGAGGCCATACACATCAGTGAGGCGTGCTTGGATCGGCATCCATCTTCACCTCAGTGCCAGCATCATGGCTCCGAACATTTGGCACTGCCCATTGTTCTTGGTCAAAACCAATGGGATCCCATTTTGGGGTCGGTGAATTCACCACCCATTTTAGAACCTTTTTTTTGTGGGTCGCCGTCTGTGGGAGGCCCCGCGCCTGTACGATTTGGATTTTGACCCATGGCCATCTCTGGACTGCTGAGGTATCACATCGGCGTGGCTGCTTGCCAGTTGGCTCTGCTCATCGAAGCGCGTGGCAAGGGCGGCGCGGAGCTTCCCCTGGCGGAGAAGATGCTTTATGCTCCTCGGCGAGCCACGGGGTTAAAGGAGCCTGGAGTTTTGATTTGGGGGTTTGGGGGGGGACACCAGAACGACGATTTTGCTCTCGATTCCCATTAAAACCTTCAAAAAGAGTGTAGCCCCCCCCAAGAAAAGATAACAAAAACAATGATACGCCAGCATAGGCCCCAGATAGCGAAAAACAGGCAGATGATTGCACACCAGCACCTCTAACAGCAGCACCCCAACTGCACGCCCCTAGCACTCGTCCGTCAATGGTGCAAATCACTTTCTCCTCTTATTAGAAGTTAGAACCCCTATAGCTCCCAGCTATCTGGGGAAAAACATGTGGAGCCTCTTGCGATGTGGACAGGAACACCTGAGACGTCGTGCCACGGAGTGCCTATCCACGGCCCAAAGCAGCGAGGAAGGCCAGAAGCGGAAACCTCAAGGGAACCTTCGCTTGCCGGCGGCTCGGCTCAACCCCGGCCAAGCGCTTTGAAGCTTTCAGGCGCCTTCAGGCGCCTCAGGGGCGCTTGAAACGGTGCAGTTTGTGGCAGTTTTCAGGTTCCGGGCTTCTTCGCCCAAGGTCTTGTGGTCTGGCCATCTCTTTTTTTCCCCCCTTCCAATATATATAGATATATATATATATATATTCATATATATACACATATTAATATGTATATATTTATATATTATATCACAGGATCAGTATATGAGGCACTGCCTCCCCTCGTTTCCCCGGCTCGAGTGAGGAGCCTCCGTGGCTGGAGGTGGACTCGCTGATGCTGCAGGCAATGGCTGTGGATGGCCTGAGCCGCACGGGAGGCTATCGCCAGGTGCGGATCCACCGGTGGTTTCGGTGACCACCAAAGAAGGAAAAAGGGCCATGGGTGAACACCAATGGGATCCCATTTTGGGGTTTTCGGTGCACCACCCACCCATTTTAGAACCTGGGTCAAAATTAACCACCAGGGGACCGCAGGTGTTGGTCTATGTATCCACTTACTGGGGCAAGCCATTTGGGGGTTACCCGATTTTTGACCCACTGCCATTCGGCTCATGGCCTTAAATGGCCATCTGGGCAAAGTCATGATATGTATAGTCATAATTGCCCAATGCGCTGATTGCACTCCGTGTGGTTTTGGCTCAAGGCAAAAGGTGCGCTCCGTAGTGCACCCCAGAGCCGCGATATTGTATTTTGATGGTAGCGGGTGAGCCTCGACGGTCCATTTGGTTTGGAAAGCCGTTCGAGGGGCCTAAGGGCAAGAGCAAGGGCAAGAAGGGCAGGAACAAGGGCAAGAAGGGCAGGGGCAAGAGCAACAAGGAGGAGCCGCCGTGGAGGCGGCCCGCTCGCGGCAAAGGCAAAGCCGCAGAGCCGGTCGAGGAGACCGGGGCAGCGGAAGAGCTGCCGGAGGAGAGGCCGGAACTAGTTGCCCCTCCGAGTGAAGAAGAGGAAGAGACCCTGTCCGCTGAGCCTGCCGCTGAGTCAGAAGCAGACTGGGGAAGTTCCCAGGCTGCATCTCCTCCCTCCTCAGAGCCAGAGGCTCTGCCAAGTGGCCACAGGGGCCCAGAACCGGCTCGAGGAAGCCGGGCAGAGGAGGAGGAGGAGGAGCTGGAACAATACACCAACGAGGACAAGAAGGAGGACCTCCACCCGCCGCAGAAGAAGCAGTTTGAGCCCGAGGCTGCGGACTTCGACCTGGAGCAGAAGGACCAGAGCGAGGACGAGAGCGTGTGGGGCGATTGGGGCAGCGGGGGCAGGATCCAGCCTGAGCCCGAGCCCAAGGTCGCTCGCACGCCTAGGTCGTCAGGATCCGGGTGGTGGCTGAGTGCGACTGGCAAAGACAAGAGGAGAAGCCAAAGCAGTCGGCAGTTTAGGATCCTCAAAGGCCTCCTGAAGCTCGCGCAGAAGAAGCAGGAAGAGCCATCCGCGGAGCTCCAGGAGGAGATCGAGAACTTCGGGCAGGCGCCCTGGAAGAGGCGCCGGGTGCAGCCCAAGACACCACCGAAGTCCCCGCCTAAGTCCAGCCCTGCTCCGAAGACACCGCCGAAGGGATTCACAAAGGCCCAAGGAAAGGAGCCTTCACCGGGCGCTGAGCCCGAGCTGCTGGCACCGGTCGCCGAGGCAGCCAAAGCTCTCGGCCGACGGGTTACGGTGCATAGGAACATCCAAGAGCTTGCGGTGGCAAGGACATCCCGCGGTGAAGGGACGAGCGAGCAGAACCTGGCCTCGAACTACCGCCTCAGGAGGGCGGCATTGGCAGAAGCTGCACACCGAGCCGGAGCAAAGGGCTCGGTGGCCAAAGCCATCCAGCAGAGTGTGCTGCAACTGGACGGGTTAGGGAACCCGTGTTCCTCGTGCGACGAGAGGACTCGCCTTCAGAGGCCATCATTGTTGGCCAGGGCCGCAGCAATTGCAAAAGGGGCGACAAGGAGGCGCGCACCGGTAGGAACGACCTCAGTACCGGAAGCTATCGCGAAGCCTCAGGTGAAGCCACCTCCTGCAAAAGCGGCTGTAGAGGCGAAGGTACCACCTCCACCGCCAAAGCCGAAGCGGGTGTTCAAGGAGAAGGCCCACACCGCGAAGCCCGAGAGCGAGCCGAAGGTTTCGCTGGTTCCGAAGTGGGTGCTCAAGGAGAAGGCCCACATCGAGAAGCCCAAGAGCGAGCCGAAGGTTTCGCTGGCTCGGCCGAAGCGGCCGCCACCTCCGCCACCGACTCCGTCGCCGGCCACACCCCTGAGCGAGACCGAGGGCAGTGTGCACCTTCACGATCAACCGGCGCCGGAGCCGAAAAGCGGATCGAGCTCGGGGTCGTACTATAGTACAGAAGAGTCCGGGAAGGCGGACTGACCCCCCGGTGCTTGGCACCGGATATAAGGCATGGAGGAAACAGTGCGAGAGTTGCAGCAGGCAGTTGAGCGGTTGTCACAGGAGAATCAACTTCTTAGGCAAGGCCAGGCAGGTATAGCTGCTTTGGCAGAGAACCTTGGTAGGTTAGCTACAAGCCTGCAGAAAGGCGATAGGAAGTTGTTGATAGACACCAAAGGGATTGGAAGACCGGAAGTCTTTTCCAATGATGACGGCCACTTCCGTAGATGGGCCCGGTCTGTGGTGAACCTCACAACGGCAATCTTTGGATCCAGTTTCCAGTCAATCCTTGAATGGGTAGTTGATCAGGATGAGGAGATCACTGTTGAAAAGGTAGAAGAGGAACATGGAGGCGAACTGGGAATGGCCGGACTGGATGATAAGGGAGACCAACTGTATCGGTTGTTGTCATCCCTTACTACTCATGAGTCCGAAGACCTGGTCATCAATGCCAAGAACGGGTATGAGGCATGGCGAAGGCTTAACAGGAGATGGGACCCTCTCACCGCAGGTAGGAAGAGGAACATCCTAAGGGCCATCCTCAACCCCGAAAGAGTTAAGTCTTGGGAAGCAGTTCGACCGGCCATGGAACAACTAGATGATTTGATGCGCCGATATGAGGCCAGAAGGAACGAAAGGGGCGAGAGGGAAATCCTCTCTCAGGACATAAAGTGTACGTCCCTAGAACTTCTGGTTCCAACCGACATTGAGCGCCACCTCATTCTGAACAAGAACCGGCTGGGAACCTACGAGGAAATGAAGCAGGAGATTGAGGTTCTGATTGAAACAGTCACGGGAGCAAAAGGGACGGTCCATCGACCGGGGTCCAGTGGGGCTTCGGGATCGGGGCGAGGCCCCGCTCCGATGGACGTGGACGCCATCACGAAGGTGCTCAACTCGCTGGTCAAAGGCTCGAAAGGTCAGAAAGGAGGCAAAGGTAAGGGAAAGGACAGCGGTGGAGGCAAAGGCAAAGGCAAAGGAAAAGGTAAGGACAGCAAGGGAAAAGGTAAAGGCAGTGGTTCAGGCAGCTCAGGATCCGCAGGAGCATGCTTCAACTGTGGTAAGACCGGCCATAGAGCGGCCGAGTGTTGGAGCAAGAAGAAGGATGGAAAAGGTTCCAAAGGCTCAGGGAAGTCTGGCTCCAAACAGAAGCATGTGGCAGGATTCGAGGACGCCGACTACGAAGCTGGAGACCAAGAAGAACAACCGGAGGCCGAAGTGGGAATGTTTGAGCTGGGTGCGTTCACCCAGGGAGAGTCCCCGAAAGACCCAAGCTGGGTTCGGTTCAACCTTGATACGGGGGCTGCTCAGACTGCCATTCCAGTGGATTGGAAAGACCGCATCCCCACTAAGGAAGGAGCCCAGATGATGTTCAAGACAGCATCGGGGGAACTGGTCCCTGGGACCGGAACCGGGACGTTTCAAGGTAAGAGTGAAACAGGTTCCAGGTGTAGAGTCACAGGGCCATTAGCACCGGTACACAAACCGTTGGTTTCAGCTTACAAATGCCTCAAACATGGAAGGATGGCTGTTCTTGATCAAGATGGTGGACAATTGATTCCAGTAGACTCAGCGACAGGAAGGAAAATTCAGCAGTTGCTCAACAAGCCCAGTAAAGCCCAAAAGAAGACTTGGTTGCCCATATACCAAGAGAAAGGAGTTTACAACTTCTATTTGAAGTCGGAAGATTGTTCGGGTTTTGGACGGCAGTCCAGCGAGGCGTAAGTCCGGCCAAACCACTTGCAGCGGCAGATGATGCCGTGGGTGCCGGACAAGGGAACCCAGAGGCACCAGCGGGCCGACCCGCAGGTGTGCCCGAGGGTGATGAGATGGATGAGAGCGGCGAGATCGCGCCGCCCGCACTGGTGAGAGCACCAGGAGGCCCATCGAGGGCCGAGGTTGCGGAGCATGAGGCAACAGGTCACGTGCAGTATCGCAACTGGTGTCGGCATTGTCTTGCCGGCAGAGGATTGGGTCAGCAGCATCGCTCACGACCCGAAGAGGACAAGGCGAGCGATGAGCTCGCGACAATCTCGTGCGACTACACATGGATGACGCGAGATGGAAAGGAGGATGGGAAGACTAAGCCTATCCTGGTGATCCGAGACAGTCGGACACTGGCCGTTGCGGCCACCTTCGTGGACGCAAAAGGACCGACGCCATATGCGGTCAAATTCATGGCGAACTTTATAAAGCATCTTGGTTACCGTCGTGCAGTCTTCAAGAGTGATGGTGAGCATTCGATCGTTGCCCTGAAGGAGCAGGCGGCCAAGGAAGCAGGAGTGGAGAATGTTCCACAGGAGTCGCCGGTGGCTGACCACCGGGCGAATGGCGCAATCGAGAACTTGTGCCGAGAACTCAAAAGGCAGGTGAGAGTCCTGCGATCCTCACTGGAGGAGAAGTTGGGTCGAGTCTTGAAGGATGACGACCCTGTGCTGTCTTGGTTTCCAAGGCATGCAGCAGACCTGATGTGCAGGTACAAGAGAGGTTCCGACGGGAAGACACCGGAACAAAGGAGGTGTGGCCGAGAATGGAGAAAGCCGGCAATCGCCATAGGAGAGCGGTTGTATTACCGTGAGGTAGGAGAAGGAGCTAGGCCACTCAAGGAAGGCAGGTACATAGGTCACCACGGAAGGACTGGCACTTTGCTGGTTGTGACCTCAGAAGGAGTGAAGAGAGGCACTGGTGTTCGTCGACTTCCAGAAGAAGATCAATGGAATCCACAAGGATGGGAAAGCCTTAAAGGCTACCCGTGGGAGGTCTCAGTGCGAGCGCCGGGAACGCCGGGGCAGAGGGCCCCGGGAACTCCTGCTCAAGGAGTGGAGGACCTGCTGGTCAGTGAAGACCGGGTTGAGGTTCCGCCTCAGGTTGTGCCTGTTATGGCACCGCCACAGCAGCGACGGATTTACATCCGTAAGGCAGATGTGGAGAAGTACCAACCTACTGATGGATGTCCTGGATGCACTTGCGTGCTACTAGGGGAATCCACTCAGTTGCCGCACACTGAGATGTGCCGAGCGAGAATCGTCGGTCTCATGATGGATGATGAGCAAGGACGACGCCGTGTCGAAGCTCACAGAAGGAAAAGAGAGGAGACCACGGAAGTAGGAGTGGAAGCAGATCTCCCAGCACAAGAGGCCATGGGAGAGCCGGCCGCTGAGGCCGGAGCAGGATCTAGGCAAGACCCTGGACAAGTGATGGAGTATGTGGAGGATCCCGCGAAGAGGGCTGAACTCAAGAGAGCAGCAGCAGACCCGCCAGCATCGAGTAGCCCAAAGAGCAAGGCGAAGCCGACCACGCAGATCAAGAGACCGGGAGCGCTGTATATAGCGCCCGGAGCCAAGCAGAAGACGCAGCAGAAGCAAGGTGAGAAGCGAGAGCCCGCAGTATCTCCTGAAGAACTCCGAACGGAGACTCAACCGGCGGCTGACGCCGAGACTTCAAACACCCCGGACAAGCCCCCAGACGTGGGCGGACTTGAACTGGGTCGATTGAAGAGGATGTTGAAGTCCATGGTTGGACGGAAAGTAGAGAGAGCGTTTTTGGCTCAGGAGGTGGAGATCAACGCGGTCGAGCTGGAGCAGATCACCAAGCTGTGCGTGGAGATGGGAGCTGTTGATATCATGGAGATCTACAGCCCGAAGCGGTTCACGGCCCAAGCCGGGCAGTATGGCTTGAGGCCGGGCTTTGCGGTAGACCTTGAGGAGCAGAAACCGGACGGTTCCTACTGGGATCTCAGCAAGACTGAGGACGTCCGAGAGCTCGAGGAGTATGTGGACGAGGTCGAGCCGACATTGCTCACAGGGAGCCCACCTTGTGACCAATTCTCCCAGCTCCAGAACATCAACAAGTACAGGGTGAGCCCAGACAAGAGGCGCGAGAAGATGGATAGAGCAGTTGCTCATTTGCATACCGCCTGTAGGTTCTACAGGAAGCAGTTGCAGGCAGGTAGGTTCTTCTTGCATGAGGCACCGTGGAGTGCTACCTCTTGGAAAGACCCGGAGGTCCGTGAGCTCACTGAGAGACCGGACGTGTACACTGTCCGAGGCCCAATGTGCAGATGGGCTATGGTCGCTACGGACCGGAGGGGTTTGCAGGGCACAGGATATGTGCGGAAAGAAACTGGCTGGATGACCAACCATCCAGGTTTGGCCCAACTGTTGGAGGGCGAATGCACCAACAATGTGCCGGGGAAACCATGGCACCGGCACATCCACCTGATCGGAGGACTCGCTAGACCGGCGGCCCGTTATCCGCCAGCGCTAGTGCGAGCGGTCCTGAAGACTTTGAAGAGCCACCTTGTAGAGAGTGGCCAGTTGAGTGCATTGGACGCAGCAGTTGCAGGTCCAATCCCAGAGGAGAGCTTCGTGACGCCGGAAGACGTGGAGCAGTACTGGGACGACGTGAATGGTGGGTTTTTGCCACCAGACCGAGTCAGGGAGGCACGTCAGCTCGAGTTGGACTATCTTAGGAAGCAAGAGGTTTACGAGAAGGTGCCGCTCGAGGAATGCCTCAGAGAGACCAACGGGAAGGGTCCAATCACCACCCGTTGGATAGACACCAACAAGGGAGACCCCGCCAATCCCAACTTCAGGTCGAGATTGGTGGTCCGGGAGATCAAGGCCCGGAAGAGTCCAGAGGAAAGGATTCCTCAGAACATGCTGTTTTCGTCAACACCGCCTTTAGAGGCTATGAGGCTGCTATGTAGCCTATGGGCCACTGAGCGTGTATCCCATGGAGGACGACCACTCAAGATCGGACTTTGGGATATATCAAGAGCCCACTTCTATGGCGTACCCAAACGCCGCATATACATCCAGTTGCCGGACGAGGACGCCAGTCCGGGAATGGTGGGTCGTTTGACTAAGTCGATGTACGGGACACAGGATGCCCCTAACATATGGCAGCAGCACTACACGCAGCTGTTGATCAAAGCCGGATATCTCCGGGGAAAGTCAAATGGCTCAGTGTTCTATCACCCGACACTGGGAATAAGAGTGCTGGTGCACGGAGATGATTTCATGGCGTTAGGAGACGCCGAGGCGCTGAAGGAAGTAGATACTTTGCTTCGCAGTGCCTACGAGTTGAAATGGCTCGGGACGATAGGTGATGAGGAAGGAGACCACAAGGAGGTCCACTTTCTCAACCGGCTCATTCGTTGTGAACAACATCAAGGAGCGAGTGCGATCCTGATCGAGCCAGATCGACGCCATGTTGATTTGCTTGTGCAGCAGCTTGGCATGGAGAATGCCAAGGGAGCGGAGACGCCGGACGTGAAGAAGTCCGTTGAATTGCAGATGCAGGAAGCCCGGAGCCCAGCTCTACCGAAAGAGCAGGCTTCCCTGTATCGCTCATGCGTGATGAGGGCAGCGTACCTGTCACAGGACAGGTTAGATATCAGCCACGCTGTGAAGAATCTTGCGAGGAAGATGGTTTCTCCTACAGAGGCATCTTTGCAGGATTTGAAGCGACTGTGTCGCTACCTCATCAAGAAGCCGGACGTGTGTCAGGTCTTTGCACGGCAAGCCAAGCCGAGCAAGCTCCGAATCCAGGTGGATTCCGATCATGCTGGAGACGCAATGACGAGGAGATCCACAACAGGCATGGTTGCTCTGTATGGGTTGCATGTGCTCAAGCACAGCAGCAATGTGCAGTCGACCATCGCTTTGTCGACTGGGGAGTCGGAGTACTATGCTCTTGTCAAAGGAGGTTCAGTTGGTCTAGGCCTACAGTCACTCTTGGAGGACTTTGCGGTCGAGACCCAGGTGCTGATTCAATCAGATGCGACTGCAGCGAAAGGAACTGTCAATCGGGCAGGTCTGGGAAAGGCCCGTCACATTCAGACGAGGTTCCTGTGGTTGCAGGAAAGGGTCAGCATGGACCATCTGAGGGTGGAGCATATCCCTGGCAAGTCCAACAGGGCTGATGCTCTAACAAAGAGCATTCCAGGTGTACAGATGTCTGATACCATGCGAAGGTGTGGTTATGTTTTCCTTGACCAACGTAGCAAGGGACAGCTTAAGCTACTAGAAGGCTAAGGTCCCTGGCCAGACTCCGCTACCTATATTGCTGTGCGAGCGTGTACAGAGACGCTCTTCCAGCAAGGAGGAGTCATGATATGTATAGTCATAATTGCCCAATGCGCTGATTGCACTCCGTGTGGTTTTGGCTCAAGGCAAAAGGTGCGCTCCGTAGTGCACCCCAGAGCCGCGATATTGTATTTTGACAAAGGCCATTCAGGTTTTGCAGGGAACTCGCAAGCTCCCCAGGAGACGCAGCCTCTCCGGGAGTTTCGGCTGCCGCCCACGGTGGGCTGGAGGATCTTCGGTTGGCGGACGTGACGAGTCCACAAAGCAAGATGGAACCCCGAAAGAAGACCCTTCATTTTTGGAGGAAGCCCTTTTTGGGCCAACTTTTCGGGGACAGTTTTTGGGGTTCCATGATAGTTTGCAGGGCTGCAGCGGGAAAAGGAGTTGCGGAGCGCAGTCTTTCACCCGAGCTCCCATCCCGCGATGTAGAGACACAGGCGGTACCTGCGTAGACGCTTGCGTGGAAGTTGCTGTGATGTGAACCAACGCGCATTCCCTCGCAGCAATGCAGCCGTTTGCGGACAACAAGGATGCTTTGCAGTTGTGGAAGCACCAAAACCAGGCATTCGATCACAGGGGCCAAAATCCAGACTCACAATGGCATCAACAGGCATTCACACAGAAGAGAAGACTGTGTTGTTTGGTTTCGCGCTCGCATGGCCAACCCCTGATTGCAGCCATCGATTGCCAGCAGGCTCTTCCAATGTGAGACGTGCATCTTTTTGCGGGGTTCCCCGCAACTGGCCAAGCCGGAAGATGTGTTTCCCTTTTTCCCCTTTCGGAACTGGGAATCCATCCGTCCGAAAGAAGTTATTTTTCGTCCCCGAGGCTCTCTATGGGATGTTCGCAAAGCGGCGCACATCAACCGGCAGTGGCCCGGCTGCATAGATTGCATCCGTTGATTCGGGGAGCCCCGTCTAAGCGGTCGGAGGTTGCCGTGAGCACAACTTGGCCATGGGTCAAGATTCAACTGGTACCCCCCGTGAACATCCGATTTTCCACTAAGATAGACTAAAATGGGTGGTGCACCTACCCCAAAATGGTACCATTGGTTTTGACCCACAGCCACTTAGGACAAGAGGAAGGAGGTCCCGACAGAGGACCTGGTCCAACTGGTTCATTTCGCTAGCTGGATGCTACATGTGGCTTGGGTGCAAGAGCTCTCGACGGCTCTGAGGCGTGTTGAGGTGCTACAAGCGTTACAGGGCACTGCCGATTCGCAAGTCGCGAGCTTCAATTTATATCAATCAACTCATGGGGAATAGTCTTTAGAGGAGGGCTGTAGACGAATTTGTCCGAGCCAGGGGCTTGTGTCACCCAGGAAGGCTACACGCGAGATCTCGTCTTCGTGTTGCTGCTCATTGCAGGTGCTCGACGCTTGGCAGAAAGCTGTGGCTCCAGTGTCCAGTGCCTAAAGCATGATGGAGCCTTCAAGGAAGCTGAGTGAACCTGACTCCAGGGTCCACATGGGTACCTTCACCCAACCCAACTTTGACAGTGAAGATCTGGGCTGGGCAGACTTGAAGCACGAAGCCCGGAGTTGTTTTTTCTTCCCCTGTGCCGCTTCCAAGCGGAATGGAAGCAGAACGCCTCCCCAAAAGAGGCTCGCCTGAGGAAACACCATCAGCTCCGCCCTGATGACTCGCTTCGGGAACGCCTTCCGCCAAGCGCGGGACGAGGTTGCGCCAACGGTCAAGGATGTCGCGCTGGAAGGCTGGGGCACGGCTGGCGCGGGGCGGGGGGACATGCGCCAACGTGGCTCTGTGACATTGGCTTGGTGAATTCGGGCGGCAGAATGCCACAACCGAGGGGGGTGGCTTTTTTTTTCCAGCATCTTGGTCTGTTGAGTTCGTGCCTGCGATTCAGGGGATGGTTCTCATCCAGACGTCCAACGTTTTGAGGCGTTCAGGGACATGGCACAGAGTCAGCTGTTACTTGGCTCGCTCAGTCCCGCCTCTCAAGCGCATCCTTGTCCCCCATGTCATCGGAACTTGCAGAGTGCTCAGGCTACGCACCTGGCGGAAGTACCGGAAAGCGGGCGGAGAAAAGATGCCTGGCTGCGCTTTCATGGGTGTGGGTCAAACATAGGTACCCAAAATGGCTTGCCCTGGTAAATGGAAACAATGACTACAACCTGCGGTTTTTTGCTGGCTTTATTTTGACCCATACCCTCATGGGAGATGAAAGCACCGCTGTCCGCACTCTGTTGGTTCCTCGTTTTTGGAGCACTGGGCCCAGGAACTTCCACCGGCTGCGGGTAGAACAGCCCAAGAGCAGGGCACAATCCAGGGAGTTCAAGGATAAGGAGCTTCAAAAGATGAGGTCAAGTGCCAGCGTGGTGGCACTTTGGATGCACCCACGTGGGCGAGTTGCAAGGTTGATGCCACATTGGCCCTGCTTGCGAGCCGCGTTTTGAGGAATCCATTCTGGGACGAGATGGGCATGAATTCTCGGATGTTGAGGAGACTGTGGCCAGAGCAAGCTGAAGTTCTTGGTTCTTCTACTCCTCCACGTTGTGTCAAGCCCTTGCTTATCCGCTGCCATTTTCCTTCATTTGCCCTTGCTTTTTCATCTATACGGGCTTTCCTTTGCTATAACCCGCTCGGTCGTGGCTGGTCATTCTCAGTTGCTGCTGTTGTCTCTTTTGCCTTTTCCCGGTGCACACTTATCTCTGCCTGTTTGCCTTGAGTTCTGCTTTTGTTCCAGGTGCCATTCGTTCTGGGATGGGCCAATGAGTCGTTCTTGTTTGTTGTTTGTGGGCGCTCATGCTCACGACAATGCTCAGGCTCTTTTTTGGTACTCTAGTTTCGCCCTCTTGTTTGCGCACATGGTCACTGCTAGCTTGTGGCGGTCCTTTCGTTCTGTCAATGTCACTTGGCATGGGTGTTGTATCGCCTAAACTCACAGCGCAAGCGCTTCCTCGACTGTTGCCCAGTGATTCTTTCCTCGATGGAAATGTCATTTGCTTTCATGCAATCTTTTTGGGCTGCAGTCATTGTGTCCTGCGCTCATCTTCTGTCTGGGGCACACGCTGTTGCTGCCACTGCCGCCCTCGCCGCCATCGCTGCCGCCCTCGCCGCCATCGCTGCCGCTGCCGCTGCTGCTGCTGCTGCTGCTGCTGCAGCTGCTAATGCTGGTGCTGGTGCTGCTGCTGCTGCTGCTGCTGCTGCTGCCGCTGCCGCTGCCGCTGCCGCTGCCGCTGCCGCTGCTGCTGCTTTGCTGCTGCTGGTTTGATTGCCGTTTGCTGCTGTAGTATCTTTGCTTGCTGTGAATGCAGCGTGTAAGAGCGCAGTATTATCGTTTCGGTCCTAGTTTTGTCTCGGTTCTGTCCAATTGTTTGACTTTTTTGGGTCCTACTCTACATTTTGGTCGTTGGCAGGTAGGCTTGCTGCCTGCTCTGCACTTACAGCAAGTCCGCGCCGCAAACATATGTGGAGGGAAGCTAAGCATAAAGCACTTGTTCAACCTCCAATCTGAATTAAGCTCTCGGCCTGGCGCATCTTGAGCAAAATTGGGGCGAGAGGATCAACGCAAGACCTTAAGCCCCCCTTTCCCAGCAAGGCCCCCTCCAGAGAAATCGGTTAGGGCCCAAATGGGAACCAACTAGGACGAGTGCAGAGTCGCCAACAAAGACCAAGATGTCGCATTTCCACATTAGTACCAATCTGATAAACCTAAGTCAAGAAATCTACTGTCAAAGTCTGTGAATATTCGCTACATGCTCATTTGTCACTTGTTGGGCTGGCATGCTAGTGGCAATCCTCATGACAAGCCCAGGATAGTTCAGGATAGTCGTAGAATTGTCGGGCAAGAGTCGCCTCCTTTTGAAAGCAAAGTAGCACCGCAGGTGCAGCCAAGTTTAATTAGCCGCGAGCGGGTTTATGCCATGCACTACCTGCAGCATCGTGCTGACACGCATAGCAGTCAAGTTCTTGCTTAAGATCAGTGAGGGAGAGAGAAACACATGACATGGGTGCGGCGCAAAATTCAAGAACTAGGGTAACGCAGGTTTTAGTTCTGGTTCCATTTGCCAAGGTGCCATTTGTTTGACCCATGGCCACATCACTGCTTGGATGGCAGGGCATTACAGTCGACGAGGAGAGCGTGATTTGCAGCTTCGAAGAGGCGCATACTCCCGCTGAGCGTGTCATTACTTCCCTGCCAATCATAATTCAAGCCGCTCGGCCAGAAAGAGTATGATATTCTAGGGGTACCTTCCCCATTCTTTCCGATCCTTCTTTCCAGAAAACCTCCAGAAACCCAAGGACAACGGCAGGTTTTTGAAAAGAACGATGATTGAAAAGAATGGGGAATCAACCCCTGGAGATATGGCTTGTTGGTTGACCGCTTGCTTGAACGTACTTGCTTTCCAAGCAAGGTTGTGCACAACGTAGAGGTTTCACTTTCATCAGTTCTGCCACCAGGCTGCAAGCAGTATTCACGTGGTTTCCACCCAATTTTGTTGTTTGGGCCATGGATGCATGCGTGATCTTGGCCATGCTGGCCGTCGGACGCCCGCCGGCTTGCAGATTTCCTGTGGCCGAGGTCAGCTACAGAGGATCTACTGGGAACGGAGCCCTTGCATCTTCCTGGTGAAGTTGAGCGCTGCCAGTATTGTATCCCTGCTGGCGGCTGCGTTCCTCGCCCTTCCCAATTCAACTCAGCTGCCTCATGTTCTGGCAAACCCTGCTTCTCTGTGGCCGGATCCGAGGCGTATTCCACAGAAAGCCCGGGCTCTGTATGTCTTCCGTTCCAGGCATACGGCGCTCCTTGGCAATGAATGCGTTCCATGCGTCGCAAGACAGTGTGCTACGTTTTGAGCTCATCAGCTTTCTTGTTTGCACCTTTGAGTATGGCATGGTCAGAAAGCGCGCAAAAGACGGAGCGCGATGTACTTTGGGGACCCTTTGCCTTGCAGCACGTGTTGCCTTGTGACGTCCTTTTGGGTTTCAGAGCTGGCGCTCCAGGTCCGGCTGCTGGATGGGATGTGTCGAGGAAAGCCCGGAGCGACACCAGCGACTCGGAGAAGAAAGGGCTGGCACGGGGCTGTGGCCTGACTTGGTGTGTGTGTGTGTGTGTGTGTGTGTTGGTTTGCATGCGCGTGTGCGTGAGAGAGAGAGGGAGAGGGAGAGGAGAAAAACGCTTGCCATCTAGCTGCTTTCGTTTTGGTTTCCTTCCAATGCCGAAAGGGCAGGCGAATTGCGTATCCAGCTGGGAGTCAGCTTAGTTCTCGCATTTCGGGTGTATGCTGCATGATTGGATCAGGACGTGTTGAAAGATGAGCTGGGAGATCCGGCCAAGCCGATCAAAGTTCTCAGACTCTTGGTCGCACCAGGCAGCCCTGAAGATGGCGGGTTTTCGTCTCCGTTTTCCCTTAAAACCACCAGAAAGGGGGTGGCCTCAACAAAGACACCCCCATATGCCTTGTACCATGGATACGCCCGGAGCGGAACTCAGCCGACCCAAGACCCGCCCAGGCACCAATAGCAAGCGACTTGTCTGCAGTGCCTTCTTGGCCAAGAGGTGAAAGGAGCAGCTTGTGGCCGCTTCGACTGAGGTCTGGGGAGATGTTCTTTATCTCCCACTCCGGGAAGTTCATTGTGAAGAGTCTAGGGCAAACAAATGGCAATGGCTCAAAAACATGCACCAACGTGGCAGCTTCGTAAATGGAAGCAAAGACTAAAACCTGGGTAACCCTGGCTCTTTCATTTTGAGCCACAAAGCCAGCATCGTCGCGAGTTTCGCATAGCCCTGCTCAAGAAACAGCGGCTGAGGAGCATTTCCGATGCAGAGGGCAAAGGCTTAGAGGGAATCCTTCCAAGCCGCTCGGCGGTCGCTTTTGTTTTTCCAGCCGTCTGGCTGTGGGGATCGATCTGCCGCGCAGGCTACGTGAATCACCTTGCTGGCGCGGAGGGCTCCATTCTGGGCCTTTACGTGGGCTTGTACCGCATAGCTCCTTGCAAAGAACTAGTGCGAGCTTCACCACATGAGCAAGAGGCTAAACTCTCATCTAGAGAGATGTTTTTTTTTTTTGGGTGAAACCCCAAAGACAAGTGGCAGACATCTTCAAGAACGATATGGTGAACCGTCTTAGGTTTTGTTGCTCGCTCACATCCTGTCATGTCCTATTATGCATATTCACATCAATTTCATTCAATTTCTGAATGCCATGCCCACACACGGGCATCATGATGCGGGTAAGGATATGGGCTTTGGGCTGGGCCAGCGGTACTTCACGATTATGCGCTCGGTGTTTGATTCGCCAGTGCAGCAGCTTGGCTGCTGGCTGCCCATTGCTCACACTTGCTACGTGGCGCTTGGTCAACCTGAGGATGAGCACCATGTATGACCTGAAAGGGTCCACTCACAATAGAAAGGTGAAGGCGGGGAGAGGGAGGAAGCTATCTGGCAGCGCAACTGAGCTGCCAGGACCCGAAAGAAAGGGTGCGAAAGGACGAAGACGCTCGGCAATGAAGATCTTCGATTGGCGCCCCCCCCCCATTTGTTTCCCTCAAAGGCGCCACACTTCCTAGTGGTGAAGCGCCTCTGTGCCATCCAACGTGAATTTGAGCCATCGGATGTGGAAGCCTTGGCGCGCTTTTGCTTTCTCGAGGATTGGATCTCGGACGCGTGCCGCGTGAAGGTGTCCGCTCAAGATGCCGAGCGGCTGGAGAGGATGCACAAGAGGGATACAGCCGCTCGTAAAAAAGATGATTTAGTTGGGGCTGTTGGGTCATATGGGAAGGGGGGGCAAAGTCGAAGAGACCCTTGACCTTCAGTGCCCTTGGACGCTTGCCACTGCAGCCAGTCAGAACGCCAAATCTCGAACAGGGGGCACGTTTGTCAAAGGGCTTGGCGCGAGTCAGACCCTGAGTTCCCTAGGCCTTTCTCAGCCCCAGCCTCAGGGGGCGGAGTGGGTTTCAGGCAGATTGCCAAGTGGTTTGGCTGAGGAATTTGCACGCTGGGTTTGCGTAGAGGGTGCATGGACATGTCAGGTGAGTTCTCAATCATCGACTTCTCCGTGCTCATAGGCGTTGCAAAGATCGAGGACTGAAGCGCAAGCAAAAGGGTGGCCTTGAAGCCAGGGGCTCTCCTTTTGGGGGGAATGAACCACTGGGTTTAGGTCTACCTTGGGGTAGTCAAAAAGTAGAACCTGGGCGTCATTGTAGTCAAGCTGCCGCATTTTTTGCCTGTGAGGACGAGAGCGAGATTCCTGCGCATGCCTGGCGGAGTATGGAGGACACTTCCCAGTGCCACTTGGCAGCTGCTGCATTCGGACGGGGCGCACGGGGCCCGGAGCCAGGGGTAGGCGGGGCAGCCACGGCGCGATGTAGGCTATTTCATCGGCATTGTGGACGTGCTGATCGAGTATGGCCTGCGCAAGCGCCTGGAGCATTTGTTGCACACCGTGAAGGGTGTGGGGCACAAAGACGCTTGGCTCTGAGGGTTCTTGTATTACTCCCTGGAATCACACCCTTGAGAAATGACCCAGAATGGTTCAAAAGTAATACAAAAAAAGTCAAAAAAAAATAAAAGAAAAAAAAGAGAAACAACAACCAAATCAAACACCTTAGATTGGCACAACCGGCGTTTGTCAGCGCCAGCCGCCTTGAGCTGCGCGAGAAAAAAGTCTGGCTGAGGCCAGCGTCACTGACCCGGTCAGCTACGCCAAGCGGCAGCGCAAGTTCTTCCGGGACCATGTCCTTCCCAGATATGACGACTACTCGCCGGAGATGCGGCTTGGAAGAAGAGTTGCAGAAAGGCAGCAGGCCACAGAAGTCGCAGCCCTTTTCGAAAGCCGTGAAGCTTGCTACTTCAGCCGCTGACGCTTTGTAACCCAAGTAGTGTGCTCTGAGGATCAGGCGTAGGTCCACAGGATGCCTAATTCATGGTTTCGAGTAGTAGCCATGTCGCAGTGCCTTGTTGCTCGTTCTTTGTCAAATGGTATAACAAAAACATATCTATAGCTATATATGCACATATTTTATTCAAGTACGTAGAAGGGACTTCTCCACCTAGCTTTTGACGCGTCTAGAAATATTTCGACTTGCGCCATGCCGGCTTGGCTTCTTTTCGCTCTTGGTTTGGCCTGCGGAGCGGGCGCCGGCTTCTGGGCCGGCCTCCCAACATGTGTCTGGTCTGTGAGGAGCACGCGCCCGGAGAGCGCTGTGCGCCAGTTTAGGGCGGACCGAAATGCCTCGAGCAACTTGTCTGGAGCGTGGGCTTGGAAGGAGTTGGGCCAACATGTGTCCAGCAAAGCGCCCTCCAACGCGACGGCTTTGAAGATCGATTTGAAGGATACGCTCAACACGCCGGAGCCCAATGCCAACGACACATGGTTTGCCCTCCAGAGCCAGGCGTGGCACGAGGCGTTTGTGCTGCCAAGTCAACGCCTGGTGTTCTGCAAGATCGCCAAGGTGGGGTCCTCGGGATGGCTTCGTTTGCTCCGGTGGGCTGAAGGTCAAAAAGGATGGGCAAGCCATCCATACTTTGTGGATGCGCATGGCCACGTTGCTGGCTTGAAGCAGCTCAAACACTTTTCTAAAGAAAAAAGCTATGAAGATGCTATTTAGCCCAAACTGGACCAAGATGGTCGTGCTTCGTGATCCATTGGAACGCCTCCAATCCGCATTTTTAGACAAGATTGTCAGGGCCGAGGACGTCTCTTACGGAAAGGTTCTCAGCGAAAGATTGTACAGTTTGCCTTTTCAGCAGTTTACATCTACAGACTTTCAAGACTTCCTGACGCGGGTGGAGCTTGGCATTTTGGAGTCACCGAACAACAAAGAAGACCAGCACTGCAAGAGGCAGTCCCAGTTCTGTGGCCTACATCATTTTCACCCCTGGTATTCGGAGATGGTGTACATGCCGCCAAAGCAATTCAACCAGTCTGAGGCCGTGCTGGCTTCCGTTTTGAGAGGCATCGCCAAGAAGGCCCCGGACCCATGGCTGGTCAAGCAGTTCACGTGGCCGAAGCCGGCACAGAGAACCATCAGCGAGCACAGTACGCTGGCTCGTGAGGTCTTTGATGAGCGGAGCTGCAAGAAAGCGCTGTCCCTCTACGCGCGCGACTATGAGCTTTTCGGCCTTCCCAGGCCTTCCTGTTGCGCCGATCATCCTCATGTCAGATGGTCGCTTGGAAATGATGCCTAGCCGACAATGCTGCCACGTACTTAGATCAAAGTGTCAAAGTGCGGAGCGTACTACTTGCTTGCAGGGCCGGACATTTTCACAAGGAAATGGAGCCTGCGCAGCGAATGACGAGAAACAGTTTGACAAACACAGATGTACATATTTCATTCGTTTGGCAACAAACAGTATGCCACACATGTGTGTTTGTTGGTCACAGAACCTCGCAATAGACGCACCCAACCATGCTTTTTGAGGTATGTTCAATGGAATTGTTTGATCATGGAACCTCGTTGTACTGGGCAACGCTGCCTGACAAGATCTGGGTATGGGTCAAAATTAAACCACCAGGGGACCGCAGGTTATGGTCCATGTTTCCACTTGCTCTTTCCCTGTATCACCTTTCTGTAATAGCTATTAATCTGTCTTTTCTTTTATTTATTATTTAATGCTTTTATTTTCATTTGTCTTTTCTTTTCATTTGGATTTTTGTTTTTTGGTGAGTTCATGACCAGTCTGGTGGGTCCATCGTGGCCAGGGCAAACGATAGAATTCGCTGAAAATAAACGCCTGGCCCCATCTCACACTCCCATCCCATTCCATTCTCTGTGAGTCATTAGCTGGGACAGAGATGAGTGTGAGAGAAGCCCGAGTGAAGGGAGGGGGAACGGGAGTTAGCATGCAGCGGCCTAACGAAGGAAGAGGAACCAGATGAATGAAATTGTATCGCTTGGAAGTAAACATCATTCTCTTATCATATTATTATTGTTCTTTTTCTTTTATTATGGTTCTTTATATCTGTTTGCTTTCTTTTTACTTCCAACTCATCTTATCTTGGCCACAGGCTTATCAAGGAATTATCATCTTAGGAACGCATGCAAACACTAAATGAAAAGGGATTAGGAAAAGCATAGAGGAAGAGATATTGGGAATGCCTTGAGTCGTTATAATTATGGAAATGTCCTTAAAATGCTTTTATTATTGTTTGTTTATTTCTTGTTTACTTTCATTTCCTTTCTTTTCTATCTCTTTTCCATAGGGTTCCATTTGGGGTACCTATTTTTGACCCACAGCCATCTGGGCATATGCTCTGTCGCAATGCCCGCGAATCACCGAAAGCCAGCAGAAGCGCTCGATTCGAATCATGTTGACTTCAGCAGACATGTTCGACTTTGGGGAGCTGAGACAAACTTACCTCTTAAAAACACAACTTTTCAACTTTTTGGGTAACATGGGCTATGTCTGTAAAAGATTAACTTCCCCAGGGCTTGGAGTTTTAAGGGGTAAGAAAAACTCCGCACACCACACTTTCAGCAACCGAGTCTCAAGCCTTCAGCCTTCTCATTGGCTTCAAATTTCATGACGTCCCATGATGCGGGCATATGGTTGAGGAGCCTTTTCCACGTGAATGCGGAGAATGTGAGGAGAAGGGCTTTGCCGAAGACCATATGCAGGTTTTTGCAAAAGCAAGGATGCCCTTGTCAAAATGCAGGTTGTTGCAAGTTCCACATGTTGCGCCTAATGCAAGCCTTCGGCCGTGATAGGGAGTTCCATTCCAGACCCAAGATATGCCCTCTCATCTAAATGCTCAAGTCGCGTCGAGGTGTTTGAAGGGGCCGTCTTTTCTGGCGTCGCTGTCTTTGTAAGCCTCAAGCTGGATCCGTCGCAGAGTAAGATATATCTTAACCCTACCGTGGCGATCACCAACATAGGAAGACATCGGACCCGTAGGCCAACTGCGTCCCGGCGATCCCCAAAAAAAGCCAAGAAGCTGTGGAAAAGCTGATAAAGCAACATCAAGCTTCCTTCTGAATGGTTTCCCCTGAAACCACCCCCCAAAGAAGGTGACATCAAAACTCCCTAAATGGCTTCCCTTCAAGCCACTCCAAAAAAAGGTGACTTCAGACTTCCCTCGAAATCACCCAGAATATCCCAAAACACGATCCCAGCAACAACTTCGAGTGCCCCTGAAAAACCCAGAGGAGCCCGGGTCCAGAATTTTCCCAGGTCGCAGTCCGTCACCGCCACCATTGACATGTTCCGCCCCCCGGCGCGCACCGGCTCGGCGCCCGCCACGTCTGAAGTCGAAAGGGCGGAGGCGCTGACCGCGGGGAAGACGTTTTAGAGCTCTGTCCGTCGGCCCGTGCTGCGCTGATCTCGATCCTTTTGCCAGAAAGACGCCATCCCTTTGAAAAGGGGAGGGCGAATTGCAGGCAAAGGCGTGCAGGACGCTTCGCGCAATGTGCGCCGAAGCGCCGGGTGTGCGAAACCCGGGCCTTTCTCACCTGACTGAGGCGCGCCTTCCGGAGGGAGGCAAGGTCTTCGATCCAGCGGGGCGCGCCGCTTTTTTTTTGCCCGTGGACTGAACTCCTTGGTTTGATGGATCCTTCCGGTCGATACCGGCGGGAGCAGCTGCGCTTTTTTTCTTTTCAGTCGACGGGCACCGGCGGGCCACGAGTTTGTCCTAGAGTCCTGGCCAGAGTGCCAGCGGCAGGAGGCTAGAAGCAGGGTTTTCGACATGGAATGTATGAGCCAGAGCAAAGGTTGAAGCTTCTCATTCGTGATGCATAGGGGTAAGCATCAGCTCTTGGTGGTGGCTTGGTGCACTTGGCTCATATGGACCTTGTCTTCAACAAAATCACCTGACGTGGGGACGCCTCACAAAGCCGGGGCTGCCCCACTTGCGCGGTCGGAATTTTCTTGACAGTAAGGGATGTGCTCGACTGTCCTCAGAGGCCAGTCTTTCGCCAGAAGGCACAGTTGAGCAGATTCCAGGCACAGCCCAGGTCAACTGGAAACCTTGCCTTGACCACCAAGCCACAGCGCTTGGAGTAAGCGCGCCCGCCTCACGTAGGCCTAAAAAAAATGACTGGGCCACACGTGTTGAGGGGGCGGCGTTGATCTCATGAGCATTCTGATCGTTAAGGCGCTTAGGCCTTGGCTCAAGAGCAACTCCCCCTGCAAAGCAAGGGCGGCGCCTTGGCTTTGCATTCTGGAGGCTTTTGGGAGCGCGGGAGCGGCTTCGTGTCGGTTTTGCGGGCTTTTGAGGCTTGTGTCATCGAGCAAAGCTCAGTCAGGACTCAGCGATGCCCAGACGAGCAGAAGTTGCCGTACAGAAGAAAAGCAAAAGGCGGCTCAAGAAGCATGGCAGCGAAGCTGCATTTGGTCAACCAGCCTGTTGGAGGGAAGCCTCCATTTTTGCAAGAAAGTCAGCAACACAAGTCCCACCTGACTGCCAGCGTCCATGTTGCGCCTAGTCAAAGCTACAAAGAAGACAAAGCCGCGAAGGCGGCGAATCATGAAGAAGCGAAGTGCTGCCGCAGTAGAGGCCAAAGACCAGGGCTCAGGCCACGACTGCCCCATTTGCCAGGGCCCAAAAGGGCCCACCACCTGCCTCCAGCACTGCACGGGATTCTGCCGAGGTCACGAGGCCTACTCCGCCACGGTCTTTCCGGTGGTCCAAGCACCTTGCGGCGTGGCTGCATTGCACGCATTGCACGCGTTGCATGCGTTGCATGTGTTCAGGGCGAATTCGCCTTGCCGCTCGGTTCTTGCCGCACGCCCACTTTAGGTGGTCATGTCGCCTGCGCCTCGTGCTGTTTACAGTGGCAGCAGAAGAAGCCGGCGTGCGGCTCAGCTGGGTGCACGTCAGCCCAGGGTGCGACTTGAAGCGTGAAGATGCATTGGGCTTGTCGTGGAAAGCGCTGTGCTCAAAGGGTGGGCGGTGATGACGTGCAATGATCTAGGTTGCTCTGAAGGGCATCGGGGGTCACACATGTCTGAGAACAGCACTCGCAAACGTGGTAACCCTCTAGCCGAGACATTTGCAGAGGTCAGGACAGAATCGCCGTAAACTTGCATCGCGCGCGTGGGATGGACCGCCATGGCAAGAGATGCTCCGACTCAGACGGGCCTCCGTCCAAGCGGTCGCGCGGGGAGGCGCTGCGGGAGCAGGTGTCCGCTCTGCTGAGGGCTCTGGAAGCCTCGGATGCGGCGGGCCCAGCAGCGCCCCCAGCTGACCTCCAAGACTCAGCAGGGTTCCACCTTTTGGACCCCCGACATGACACTTGAACCCGGAATTGGGCTCCAAAAGGGGGGGGGATGTCTGGGTGAAAACCGCCTGTTTGGTGCAAAAACAGGAGCCCATTCATAGCTCCGTGGGGTTCTCAGCTCCCACCGGTGCCAGGTGTCGCTGCTGGCGCAGCTGGAGCAGCTCACGCTGGATCTGGAGCCGGTGCCTTTCGGCTTCCGCTCCGTGGACTGCAAGGCGGGGGGGCGGAGACGGGTCCATTTCGAGCCGCCGGGTGACACATGCGTGGCGATTTTTTTTCAACACCCAGAAATGGAAAGGGTTAAAGGGTTAAGCCGCCATTGAGAGGTTGCAATGTTCAGGTGCAGAATGTAAGGATCCCTGCTTTAGTCCATGTTTCCATTTACCTATTTTGGACAGCCATAGAGCACCACAGGTCCCCAACCCAGGGGAATTGGAGGGCAGTTGGGGACAAGCCCCAAAAAATAACTTGGTGCGGCCTCCCTCATAATTCGTTTTACATGGTTCCGGGTAGGCAATTTTTTTCATACCGGCCTTTGAGAGTTCGACTCAGGTGGACCTAAAGCGGCGGCTGCACGAGCTGCTGCCGCCCTTGGCGCGGCAGGCGGCCAAGCACCGCGGAGAAGCCGGCGGCGGCGCCGCGTTCTTCGGGGCGGTGCGGCGCTTCGTGGACCTGTTGCTGCGGAACGGCTACGCGCAGACCTCGCGGGACCGGCGGGACGTCATCGCCTCAGGGGCGTGGCTGGCTTGCATGGAGCCCCTGCAGGGGGAGGCCGGAGGGGAAGTGCTGGCGGCAGTGCATGTCTACTTGCATCTGGCGGACCACGTCAGCTTCTACGAGGACTTTGTGGGCATGCACCCGGACTTTTGGCATCCCAGCATCTTCCGGCAGGTGCTGAAGCACATGCCGAAGGTCCTAGACATCCCACAGTCGCTGGAGGCAGATGAGTGGGAGCTGCGATGTCCGGACATCGAGGCGGCGGTGAAGAGTCTCTTCTGCTTCCTGCTCTTCTGGACGGCCAAGGAGCCCAGCGACCGCTCGGGCTTCTCCTTCGAGGTGCCGGAGGCGCTGCCGCTGCTGCACGCGGCGCTGGACGCCATCGAGAAGTGTGACGTCAGGTTCGGGACGGAGATCGGCGCCAAGTGCCGGGGCGACCCGCTGGAGGAGATGATCCGGGTGCTGGGCCTGCTGACCCAGTTCGCCGTGGAGCGCCTGGACGCCCACGACGACGGCAATGTCTGCCAACTCGCACAGCAGCAGGCGGCGGCCATCCTCCACCTCCTGGTGCGGATCCTGAAGCTGCGGATCCCGACCTGCGGGGCCAAGCCGGAAGCGATCACGGATGGCCCCATCCCGGTGGACGAGCGGCAGCAGGATAGCGAGTGGATCCAAAACTTGTTCGAGCGCCTGCCGGATGAGCATCCCATCAAAGCTTCCCTGCTCATGGAGGTGTTTCAGGCGATGGTAGACATGCCACTGGAGGAGCAGCGGTATAGGTTGGAGTGCTTGTCTCCGCTGGTGCCGCGTTTTATTGCGGGTTTTGCAGAGGAGCTGAGGCAAAAGACTGTGCCGCCAGAGTTGGCGGACTTTAAAGTCGTCATGAACTCTGTGCTGCAAGATGATGCCACTTCTTTTGCGGTCGAGCTTCTTGAAGAGGTATCCTTTTATCCTTGCCTGCTGGACTTCACAACCAAGCGAGCCATGATTCATGCTCAGTGTGACCGCGTTCGACTGACACAGGGCTCTGGGGATCCCATCAGGATCGTGGTGCCGCGAGACAACGTCCTGGATGGGGTGTGCTCCACCCTGAATCTGCAGGATGCGCAGGCGCGCATCGACGTGCCGCTGGAGATCGAGTTTCGGGCAGGTTACTCGGACGACACGGGCAACGAGCTGGTGGATGAGGGCGAGGATCAGGGCGGGCCTCGCAGGCAGTGGCTGGACAGGGCCTGCCGCTACTTTGTGGCCTCGGACCTCTTCATGTCTCCGGCCCAAGATGCCTCCCACTTGGAGCTTGCCACCCGCTTGTCAAGCAGGGAAGCCCGCGGCATCTTCGTGCCTTCCCCTGAACCAGTGTGCCAATGCGTTCAGGAAGATTGGACGGAACAGTTTGAGCTCTTTGGCTGCGTCATCGGCTTTGCCGTTCTCAACAAGGAAACGGTCCCGGTCCATCTCGGGCACAACTTTCTGCGATCCGTCTTCGGCCTGAAGACTGACACCGCAGACTTGCTGCCGTTGCTGGAGCACGTGGACAAGACCTTGCACACCAAGCTCACCTACATTTTGAGCGGCTCTTACAAGGACCTGGGCGACACTCTGCAGGACGGGGTCGGTTGCAAATTTGCAACATGGGAGAAAGCGTTCGCTGGTTTCCTTGTGAAGTGGAAGCCTTAAAGGCGGATGTTGCTTCAACAGGCGTGTGCTTGCGCTCAACCCATGGTTCTAGGATTTGATTCCCCATTCTTTTCAACCATTGTTCTTTTCCAAAACCATCCATTTTCCTAGGGTTTTGGGTGTTTTAGAAAGAAGGATGCCTGAAAGGGAAAGAATGGAATTGGAAGGTACCCCTAGAATGCTTTGTTGCATTTTGCCAAGGGATGTTAGGACTTTCACTTTTTGCCAGTTCATGGGGTTTTCCGAATTAAACCGCTAAAAGTTAGACACTTTTAGCGGGGGAGCAGAAAGGACCGAGAAGGGTTGTTCAGTCGCCAACTGGTCTCCCCGAAAGAAGTGTGAAGAGTCCAAAAGTCGGGGGAAGTGAGTTTTACACCTGCAGCTCCTGCGAAAAAGACAGAAGTTGGCGCCCATCTCGCCCAGGATGTCCTGGAGCAGTGCCACCTGCCGAAGACCTTCGTGGTCTCCGAGTCGCATTGCCAAGAGCTGGTGCGCAGCACGCCGCTGCTGGAGGGGGGCGACTCCATGGAGGTCAACGAGGAGAACAAGGCGGGAGCTTTGGTTTGGACGTTGGGAGGGCCTGGTTTTTGTCAAGACTCATTGGCAATTGGTCACCTTTTTGTCGTGGGCCCCCAACCAACTGGTGGTTTTCCTTCTTTTTTTTGGAAGGCCTTCCCGCCCCCCCCAATTGGTGGTTTTCCTTTTGCTTTCCTCTAACCCCCCCCGCAAATTGGCAGTGTTCCTTTTACTTTCCTCTAATCAACCCGTGGGCCCCAACGAACTGGTGGTTTTCCTTCAAACCGGGGTACCGGGGTACCGGAGACAAAAAAAAGAGGAAAAACACCGGGGGACAGCCCAAGCCTTTTTGGGCCACAGGAGAAGTTCGTGCAGCTCTTACTGGACCGCATCCTCATCAGCGGCGTGGCCAAGCAGGCGGCTTTCCCATTCGACCTCGCCCCACCCGGGGCTTTTCTTTCGGGTTTTGGGAACGAAGAACCCACGAGGTTGGGTTGGTTGACAATTGGGTGGAACTCCCGGCCATAAGGTTCCTTAGCTTTTTTTTAGCTTGTTCGTTGGTTTGGTGGGGGTTTCCATTTATGTGTGATGTTTTTCAGGAAGACTTTGTATTGCTTGAAGCCCGGAGCGCCCGGAAAGCCGACGGCCCGCGCAGGTGCAGTACTTCCAGCGGGGTCTGCTAAGGGTGGTGCCCCATGAGCTGGTGCAGCGGATCACCGGCATCATGTCGGTCAAGGACAGGCCTTGGCCCCCGTTTTTTTTTTTTTTTTTTTTTTTTTTTTTTTTTCCGGAAGCCCAGCGGTTGTTCCAAGGGACACCGAAGTTGAAACCTAAGGAAACATGAAAGTAACAATTTCACCCCCCCCCCCCCCCCCCCCAAACCGGGGGTTGCTCAAACAGCAGTTGTTGGAACACGAGTTTGGCTTGAAGGGGTTCGGGGTTCGAATCGCCCGGGAGGAGATCGAGCTGATGCTGTGCGGGGCGGATGGCATTGACGTGGACGACTGGGAGAAGCACACGGAGTATGAGAACGGCTACACCCGTGACTCCAAGGAGCGAAAGGGATCGAAAGCCTTCGATTCGATGGGCCAGGGCGCCGTGATTTCATAGGTGTCCGATTTGTTGGGTGAGTTTTTGCTTGAAGAAATGGATGGGTTCCGCTGGTTTAGGTGGGGTGTCTTCCGTTTAACAGGGCCATCGATTTTTCCAAAAGGCCACCTATGGCCTTCTTATTTTTTACACCTTCGAGCCGTCCTTCTGGCCCCTGGACCAACTGGAGAAAGATCACGCAACCACCGGAAATCGAGACTTTTTTTTTTTTTTGCGAAAGACCTCACCAACCGTTCACTGAGTTCTTTTCTTGGTGGCTCCCTTAGATTGATAGCCTTTTAATGTTTAGTGGTAGTTTCCATTTAACCCACTAAAAGTTGAACTTTTAGCGGGGGATCTGAGGGCAGCCCAGTTTTCGTGGTTGAAAGCCCTGGTGCTCCCAGGTGGTGCAGTGGTTCTGGGAGGCCGTGCGCGCCATGCCGCAGCACCTCAGGGCCCAGCTGCTGTCCTTCTCCACCGGCAGCTCGCAGGTCCCGTCCGGGGGCTTCCGCTTTCTGCAGCCGGAGCTCTTCACCATCCAGCGGGTGGCAGTTACGGACAGGCGGGAACATCCCCCGAAACCGTTTGCTTTTTGTTTGGGGGGGAAAATCCCGGGACCGTTTGTTTCTTCTCCTTGTTTTGCAAATCCCGGGACCGTTTTTTTCTTTTGGGGGGGGGGGGGGTGTTGGTCCGTAGGTTACGTTCTTTTTTTGTTTTGTTTTGCTTTGCGCAGGGGAGCGGGGGTCTTGGTCCGTAGGTCACGGACGGGTCGGTGTTGCAAATGTTGCAAGCCTTGCTGGTTAGGTTTTGGGGGGCCAAAAAGGATGCAAGGGCTTGGCCCAACCGTGCAAGAGACGACACTCGACAGGTGAAGTTTGCCAAGCCAAAGGTCCGAAACAGCGTTCTTTTCCGAGAGTTGACTGCTTTGCACATCGAACATGCAGGACAGAGAGGTTTCCTCCCTTTTTTTTGGTGGCATTTGGTGGCCATGTTTGTTGGCTGGTGGTGGCCACGGTTCCCCGTGCGGAGCAGGCTCTCCCACTTTCTTTTCCGTCTTTTTACTTTTTCCGGGAGGTAGGCAGGTGCCTGCTTCACGAGAGTTTCTGCTTGCTTCTTGGACGCTGGTTGATATGCTGCTTCAGCCAAGAGAAGACCAGAACACCCTGGTGCATTTTGCCCAGGGATGTTAACTTTAACAACTTCTTGCCAACTAATGGGTTTTTCGTTAAGCCGCTAAGAGTTAAAAACTTTTAGCAGGGGAGCAGATTTCGCCACCGAGAACACGTTGGGACCTTGGCGCAGGTTCCCGGCCGCCCACACCTGCGCCAACACCTTGGACCTCCCGGAGTACACCTCCAAGGAGATGTTGGAGCGGAGTCTTCGCTTCGCCCTCGAAGAGACTGGGGATTCCTTTGGCTTGCGATAGGCCGATAGGCCCCCCTGGAGTGCCCTGGAGTGCCCGTGGAGTGTCCGGGTCATCAGAAACGTCAGTGGTTCCAGCAAAAGTTGTGACCGCAGCGCGCCGGGAGGAAAAAGAAGAAAAAAACCGGCTTGGAGCCTGCTTGCCTTGCTCATTCCAAATTCGACCCATGTTGGGTACCTTGGCCGGAACCATCAGCAAGAAACGGGACGATTCAAGCAGCCAAAGTTCAGCCAACTCGCTCACATCCTGCTTGGTGAGGCGCGGACCTGCGCGCTGTGCCGGGCTCCTGTCTTGAGTGTGGCGCACTGCGCGTTGCTGGAGCAGCTGATTGACGCTTGGCCTTGCAGGGCTCCTTAAAAGATACATTTTGCAACCAATTGAAACATGTGGCTTTTTCCACCAAAATACAGGGAACCCACCATTTGCAAGGCAATGCTCAGGTATTTGGTGCAACGAGTTAGCATGCGTTGCCATTGGCAGGATGTCGTGAGTGAATGTATGGTTCACAACGGTTTCTTATCATTTCTGCCGCTGGATAAGGAGTGTTTTCAAGCATCAGAGCTGTAGGCTCGCTGGCTTGGCTTCCTGAGGACAAAAGGCCGGCTTCCGGTGTAGATGACGATCCCTCGCGCTCCGTGCCTTGGCACCACGCCCCCTCACCCGAACGAGAAGCAGACAAAGAGTGAGACAGCCAGCCCCACCCTCGCCAAGGGAGTTGTTTCTTTCTTGGCCTGGCGCCGTTCCTAGGAGCTGAAGCAGGCGCTGCGCGATTTAAGCAGAGGCGACTTGAATCACATACCGGGCGACTACCGCTGGGCCCTCAAGGGGTCCCAAGCGGCGTCCTCCCTTGGGCAAGCTCCGCTTGGTCGTTTAGGAACAGACGCCATCAAAGCCGCGGCATACCGCGCAATCCGGAAGGGCGACTTGGCAATGCTGAAGTCATGCGCCTCAGCGGCATCTGAGCGGCACAGCCGGTCGCGAGAGCCTCAGGCTCGGCAATGTCGCGAAGTTCTTGTGATCATTTGGAATCACCCGTGGTCCTGGGGGTCCTCCTGACTCATTCCTTGATATTTCATTTACTGACCACCGGCCTCAGAGAGGGTTCAGACATGGGGGCTGATCAAAAAGGTTCTTGGCATGGGATGACCATTCGGAAAACCACCAAATCAGACGACTTCCCCCCCCAAACGGGACAAAATTAAATGACCCTTGGCCATTTGGCGGGCCGGACAGAATTCAGATCGACCCCCCTACCATGGCTCGGGTCAAGGCATTGTGGACTTCAAGGTGAGGGCCTCCACCAAGTTGTTGTGCGAGGTGGCGGAGTCCCTGCTTGGCTTGGGAGGGGTTGGGGTGGTGCCCATGCCTTAGGAACATGGTGCGGCGTTCCCGGACCATGCCAATTGGTTTGAAATGAATTGGGTGGAGGGGAGTCTGGGACAAGCTTTCTTCCTTTGCCCGTCCCAGGAAAACTGGCGTGGGGATATTGGCGTCATTTCCTTGCTGACAGACAATGGGGCGCGGCTCAACGGACATCGTGAAGAGCGGCCATTGGTCTGTGCGGCGTACGCTGGCAACACTGCTATTCTGCGCAGTCTTCTGGTGGCTTGGCGAGCGCTCCTGTTCATAGGTGTCCTGTTGAGGTGAGTTTGATTAAAAGTAGATGGGCTCCACTGGTTTGGGTTGGGGTTTCTTCCATTTGCCAGGGCCATCCATCGATTTTTTCTCCGAAAGGCCACCTATGTTCCTGTTGCTTGGCGGGTACTTGCCTTGGAGCTAAGGACATCAAAGCCGATGCCTTGAAGCCCATAGGCAAGTCTCGTGCGCAGTCAGTTGAGCTGGTGTGGTGCTTCTCTCTGATTTGTGCCGGGGGTTGGGGGGGGTTGGGGGGGTTGGGGGGGTTGGGGGAGTTGGGGGGGTTGGGGGGGTTGGGGGGGTTGGGGGGGGGGGTTGGGGGGTTGGGGGGGTTGGGGGGGTTGGGGGGGTTGGGGGGGGTTGGGGGGGTTGGGGGGTTGGGGGGTTGGGGGGGGTTGGGGGGTTGGGGGGGTTGGGGGTTGGGGGGGTTGGGGGGGTTGGGGGGGTTGGGGGGTTGGGGGGTTGGGGGGGTTGGGGGTTTTGGGGGGTTGGGGGGTTGGGGGGTTGGGGGGTTGGGGGGGGTTGGGGGGTTGGGGGGTTGGGGGTTGGGGGGTTGGGGGGTTGGGGGGGTTGGGGGGTTGGGGGGTTGGGGGGTTGGGGGGGTGGTTGGGGGGGGGGTTGGGGGGGTTGGGGGGTTGGGGTTGGGGGGTGGGGTTGGGGGGGGTTGGGGGGTTGGGGGTTGGGGGGGGGGGGTTGGGGGGGGGGGGGGGGGGTTGGGGGGTTGGGGGGGTTGGGGGGGTTGGGGGGTTGGGGGGGTTGGGGGGGGGGGGGGGGGGGGTTGGGGGGGTTGGGGGGGTTGGGGGGGTTGGGGGGGTTGGGGGGGTTGGGGGGGTTGGGGGGGTTGGGGGGGTTGGGGGAGGTGGGCAGAATTGGCGCGCAGGGGATTCTGGCGAATGTGCATTGCATCTGGCTGTCCGGTACGGCCGGTTTGAGTCTGTGCGTGTTCTCCTGGATCATGGTGTGCCTGCCGATGCTTGGCCGGTGTCCTTCTGACTCCTGCACGGCTGGCTTGTTGAGGGTTACAAACTGCTGCCAAGGACATTCCAGATTTGGAAGGGCGAACTCCGCTCACTCTGGCAGAGAGAGGGCTGGCGATGCACGTGAACTCATGCGGCATGCAGCCGTGCAACCGTGCCTTGGCAACTGCGACCTCCAAACATCGCTCCGCCGGTGACTTTGCAGTGATGGTCGCAGGCTGCGAAAATCGAATCCAGATTCGTGGCGAGTTAAGATGGAGACTGGGCCGCCTATCTGCAGCTTCGATCCAGCCCCAATAAGTCTAGGGGTTGATTCCTTGTCCATTCTTTTCAACCATCGTTCTTTTTGAAAAACCGGCTGTCTCCCCTGGGTGTTTGATGGTTTCCGGAAAAGAAAGATCCCTGGAAAGAATGGAATTGGAAGGTACCCCTAGAATAAGAGGTGAGATTTACCGGCTTGGCCGGGACCAATGGACCAAGGTAAGCCCAGCGGAAGTGCAAGCGCATCTCTGGCACCGAGTCCACCGGACGACACAGAATCAGAGGCCAGGTACGCCTCGAGCAAGCTTGCGCCTTGGGTTTTTCTCACTTGCCCTGCCAGGATTCGAGCTCCTTGGCGTCCATGGGGGCAAAGCCTTCGGCCCGACGCGTTTGATAGGGGGGGCAGGTTTCCCCACAAAACCGCCAGTTTCTTGGGGACTTGGGGATGGTGGGGGGCTCAGGAATTCATTCCCCTGCGTCCTTGTTGGGACAAAGGATGTAGCTCTCCAGAAGCCTGGGGGCCCCGGAGTTTGCAAGGCACGAACGTGGAGGACTACAATTCGGACGACGCCAGCGATTTGTGCGATCTCGACGAAGGTGAAGAAGGCCCGGCTCAAAGGGCAGGGGTTCCTGTCGAAGGACCGGTCGACTTGTCGGAAGGAGAAGAAGAAATGGAAGAGGAGGATGATTCTGACGGGTGATGGGTGTGCGTGCCATGTATTCAATGTCTTCGTCTACATGGGCGATGGTGCTGAAAGCACCTGTACAGTTTGGCATGCCCAAGTTGAGCGGCATCCTGATTTAAGACATGCCATGCACCTCAGAAGATGTGCTTTGTGATGAAGTCTTCATTCCGGTTTTTGCGGGTGAATCGAGTCTTGCAGCCCTCCACGCGCTCGCTCATTTGCTCGAGACCTTTTCGGCTCAGCTGCTTTTTCCCAAAAGTATCACGCAGTGAACAACCAGCCGTTGATCAACAAACCACAGGGGAGAATAAATACTTCGCCCCCGCCTTTTCCCGTGCTTTCGTCCCTCTCCCTCCCATTTTGGGAGGGGAAAACAGCATCGGTCGCCCGTCATGGTGCTGCTCGAGGCGTTCGGCTTGGCCTCCAAAGAGCTCTTCGACTACAACCGGGAGAACTACAAGTTCGACCAGGATCGGTTTGGTTTCTCCTTTTTTTTTCCCCTGGGGGGGGGGGGGGCGGGGGTGTTGCTGGTAGAAAGCACTTTTTTTGTTTGGGGGGGGGGGGGTTGTTGGTAGAGAAATTTGGGGGGGGGGGGGGGTGTTGTTGTTGGTAGAAAGCACGCGGCAAACAACATACAATGTCATAAGCCTCAGGTTTACCCCTCCTCTGCAACCGCGCTACAGATTTCTGCAAGGAGGCTCAACAAAAAGGGCACCCCAAGTTGTACAGGAGCAGCGGTTGGAGCGGGACATGCAGCGGGTAGAGATGCAGATCAACCGGTTCGACTTGTTCCGGGAAGACATCGAGGACTTGGTAAAGCTGACGGTGGACAAGATGGACGCTGGGTAAGCGGTAAATTGACACCTTACACCCTCGCCTTCGATTGAATATTCCGGAAAACTGGGGCCAATTGATCATCCTACATAGGGTTATGGGGGCTTGGGGGGGAGGGAGGGGAGGGGGAGGCAGCCCAAATAAGCCCTTATTAAGCCCCCAATAAGGCCTTATTTAGGCTCCCTCGCCCCCTTTTCCCCCACCCTCCCCCCAGCCCCCATGATAGGGGTGCTGAACATTGGCCAAGGACATGTACCACATCGTGGGCGCGCTTTTCCTGAGTTTCACCGCCCTGGTGTACTGCGAGGGCATCATCGAGGGCACGCAGCCGCCGTTCTTCATGGGCCAGTACTTCCTCACCGTGGCGGCCTCCTTCGTCTATCTGTTGCTGGCGGTCTGGCTGAGCATGTACCTTGACTGCTATTGGGCAACGGATCTTTAGACTAAACAACTTTTTGGTTGAAATCAAGTTGTGTTTTCCACTAAACCCCCCCCCAAAAAAAAGTGATTCACTTTTTGCAGGGGGGGGGCGTCACCAGCAACCAAGGTACGCCTCCATCGCCTCTCATAGCTTCGGGGTCCGGCTGCGCACCAGGTACGTGCGGCTCCCCATCCCCAACTTGAACCAGATCCAAAGCCTGACCACCAAGCTCTCGGACTTCGAGAAGCAGGGCCTCTCCAAGATGATGCGGCTGCCCTTCGGCCCCACCGGCGCGCAGGCCTGGCAGCTTGAGGCCCAGAGGAGGGGCGGCGCTGGCGCTGGCGGCCAATCCCAGCTGGCCGCAGCCAGCGGCTCCAACGGCAGCGGGGCCAACGGAGCTTCGCAGAAGGCGCTCCCGGATGCGCCGCGGGAGGCGCTGCCGGAGACGTGCCTCGGGGAGCAGGGGGACCTCGGATTCGGAAGGGAGGACCAGACCCAAAAAATCATGTAGTGGAATCCATGGATTTGGTTTCTCCAAAAAGAAACACCTGTTGGACCCCAAAAAAAGCCGCAAGTGTTTTTCTTCGTTTTTGTTGTTTTTTTGGGGGGGGCCTCGAGAGGACATCCTGATGAAGGCGGCCGCCAGCGTCCCCGGGAAGCACGTGGAGCTCTTCCGCAAGCTCCAGGCCAAGTGGCAGTGCTACGACGCCTACGCGCGGATCTCCATGGCGCTGGGGGTGAATCAGATGATCCCCGGTGTTTGGTTGTTTTTTGGGGGGTTGCCGGCTGTTTTTAGAAAGGAGGATGCCTGGAAAGAACGGAATTGGAAGGTAGCCCTAGCCCTAGAATGCCTTGTTGCATTTTGCCAAGGGATGTTAGGGCTTTAGCTTTGTCTTGATGGATCGATCCATGTGGGTATGGGTCAAAATGAAAACCACCAGGGGACCGCATTTTGCCAAGATGTCAAAGGACTCTCTAACTTGGGTTTTCCGAATTAACCCACTAAAAGTGAGTCACTTTTAGCAGGGGAGCAGAAAGCAACCGAGATTGGGAAAGCTTGGGGCCTTGTGATCGATCCATGTCGTTCCGGCCCCGTGGCTCCTTCCGGCCATGGTTGTTTTCTTCGGCCTGATCCATGTCCGGCCGTTTGCTACAAGAGAAGTTGTCCAAGCAGGTCTTCAACTCTGTCAGTGTGTTGATTGACTGGTCCTCTTTCGGGTCGAAGTGGTCCAGTATTTTCCACCAGTTCATGGTTGTTGTTGGGACCCATTTTGCATCTTTGCTTCTTGTGGTTAGTGGGAAAACCAACCACTTAACCGCTAAAACTTGAATTTTTGCTCCCCTAACCCAACGTCGACCAAGAGTTCCGGCCGCTCCTTAACCCCGTTTCGGGGACGAAGGATCCAGTCGGTGAACTACTTTGTGGTGGGCGCCACCATGATCCAGACCTGCTCCCCAAGCTGCGGCTATGCGGCCACGGTGATCTTCCAGGCGACTTCGTGGGGGGGGGGGGGAGGGGTCAAGCAGCGAGGGGCGTTTTTCGTTCAGGGAGTCTTTTCTTCATTGCGGAAAGGGGAAATCAGGCGAGGCCTAGCCCTCCCAAAACACGGCACATGACAGAGGGTTCCATCCTGACCGTAGCATGCGAAACGATTTGTGCGGTTGCATTAAATGGTGATTCTTGGGAGCACCCCCTAGGCATTCCTGGCAAGGCACGCTCAGAGAAGTTTGCAATTGGGTGCCATTTTTGGCGGGTAAGGGACCGGAGCCAAGGGGGCTGGCCCTTTATCCTCCCTTGGAAAGGGCCTTTTTGCACTTCCATGTTAGTTGGTGGGAGGGTAGGACATTCCCAGGCCTGCACCTTTGGGCTGATGTTCCTGGACATCGCGGGCCTGAAGACCTGGGAGATCATGTGCCTGCAGATCATTGGGTCCATGCCCATGGCGCCTCTGCGCCAATTTCGGCAGTGACAGCTTCACGTGACCTGAATTCGGGGGTGTTTGTTGGATACCGAGGGGAAAATTCGGCGTTCAGTCAATTCATTCCCATGGCGAGGTGGTGCTGGTGGTCATGCTCACCTTTGCAAACCAGGGCCGGGCGTCCAACGAGCACATGGACCCTTTGTGCAAGGCTTTCTATGCGTCTCCTGCATGCGCGTTCCTGGAAGCTCTGTGGCTGGAGCTGTTCATGCAGACTGCTCGGCCCACCAAGGACGAGGCGTCCCTGCCCCGGAAGTTCCGGACGGTTCTCTTCTTGGACGTGTTTGGGGATGCGGCCTATGACCCCACAGAGGCAGAGCACGCCTGCGTGACAGCAGGCGTGGATGGAAGGTTGGATGAGCAGGCCGATGACATGAAGAAGCGAGAGATTCAGCAGACCCAGGCGGCAGCGGCCATTTTTGCCCTGGAAGGCGCACAATCTGCGCTGAGATGCTGGGAGGCGGTGCCACAGGAAATCTTGACCGGGGTCCAAATCTCCCAACTCCAGAACCTGCGGACGGAGTACAGCGAGTGGCGGCATCGCTATCACGGCTGCCTGTCGAAGATGAAGAGCAGACGAGGAGTGCCCTATGATCCGGTGCAGCAGGACGCGCGTGCCCTACGGGGCTGGGAGGATCTCACCACCTTGGAGAAGCAGCAGGACGAGTTCTACGGGGCGCTGGTGGGACCTTTGCAGAGACGCGCGGATGCCTCCAGCAGCCAGTACTATGACTTAGTGCGGAATGTGCCGGTATGGACCCTGGAGCCAGGCGCCAAGGTTCTTGACATGCAGAAGGCGGTGGATCGAGTCCAAAACGTAGAGCACGAGGTGACTGCGCTGCTACGGCTCGAGCGCGCCGACCTGGAGGCGCTGGGGGTGCCGGAGGAGGACATCGGGGCGAAGGCGCTCCTCTTCAAGTCTCGGAAGCGCGCCGGGCACCATCGCCTGCCCTGGAAGTCCATCCGTCGCATGACGGCCGTGCTGCAGGTGTGCTGGGTCTTCCTGGGGGTCCAGTCCCTGCTGAGCAGCCAGGGCCTGTGGGCAAATTCCGTGAGCCTGGGCCGGCGCCTGAGCCAGGACGGGCTTGCATGGCGGGAAGTCCCCGCAGAGTGGCCCCACCGCTCCTTCTTCCAGCCCTCCACACTGTCGTGCCAGAGGGGCAGCCATGGCGTGATCCTGGGCAGCCCCTACCTGCAGTATCAGCTGAAATTCAGCGCCGACATGGTCAGCCTCAGCCCTTTGCCTTTTGCCGCCCTGCCCTCCGGGACCACTGTCTTGGATTGCAGCCTCTTGGGCGACTGTGCCACCGCTCGCCTCCAGCAAGGTGGAGCCGTGATCTTGATTTCTCTGGGGCCAATGGAGGGCCAGAAGCAGACTTGGCAGCTTCGGCTTCAGGGCCGGCCTTGGTCCAAAGTGGCGGGCATGGTCGCCTCCTGCGCCAGCGTGGAGCTTTTGGCGGGCGTGCGGACCGGCACCTGCCTGGTGTTGGCCGGCTGGGACGGGGAGCACGTGCCCTTGGTGGCCCTGGCCCTGCCTTCGAATGCCACGGAGAGTGTCGTAGTGGCGCCCCGCGTGGACGCGCCGCTGGGCCCGGGCTTCAACTTCAGCCTCACGGACCTGCACGTGTCCGCGGCTCCGCCCAGGCTGTGGGCCCTGCAGCCCGGGCGTGTGGAGGCCTGGGACCTGGTGGGCCTCAGAAATTTGGGGACCTGGAAGTTGGACAAAGACCTGGAGGCGGGAAATGCATCGGGTGAGACGGGGGATAAGAGCTCACCGCGACCGAAGATGCTTCTAGGCCTACCTTCCAATTCCATTCTTTCCAGGGATCCTTCCTTCTAGAAAACCTCCGGAAACCCAGGGAAAACAGCCGGTTTTTGAAAAGAACGATGGTTGGAACGAATGGAATTGGAATCACCGAATCACCCCCTAGAATCTTCATTCCTTGAGCCCGTTAGCCCGTTTTGCTCGTTGCTCCTTGCTTGCCGCCAGGCCACCAGCCTCTGCGAGGCCGACCGGGGCCTCTTGCTGGCCGGCTTCCTCTGGGATGAGCCGCGGCTCTTCCGCTCGGAGCTGCCCTTGAGGGCCTAAGTGCCTGGCCTCGCGGGCCTCGCCATGGGGCGTCCCGGCGTCGGGTCCCGGAGTCTCCGGGTCCCGGCGCCACACCCCGTGGCGCCGCCTGGGGCATCTCCCGCGAGTTTCAAGAGTGCAAGCGTCCACGCGTGAGATTGAGATGAAAGGCTTGCCGCCCAAGGGGGAAGCGGGGGGGGGGGGGGGGTGTCGCATCAGTGAATGACGACTTTTTTGTTTTTTTGCTTGCTTGCATGTGCAAGCATGCTGTCCGCTGGCTATTCCGCAATCCTCAAGGAAGTTAGGCCAATAGGCCTAAAGGCTTCCAAGCGGGCACGACTTAGAGTCCGCTGAGAGCGTCTCAGTTGCAATCAGCTTGGAATTCTGTTGGCATCTCTGCCTTTCTATGCAAGCTGCTGTAGGCTGTGCGACGCTGCGCAGTCGACTGAGTTGATGGACACATGGGTCAGGCTCTCAGCATTGTCCCGCCTGGCAAACACAGCAAGCAAGCAAGTTCGCTGCTAAGGACGAAAGAAGAATAAGCAGGCTGCACAGGTACAAGAGTCACAAGAGGAGACACAACCTGAGCAGTTCGAGGCAGGAGCGCGCAGCTGGCTGTGCGCTTTCCCAGCTGATATGTTTCCTTCAGCCAGTTGGCGCTGAGCCACTACTAGTGTGCCCATATCGCGCAAACTGAATTTCGCCAGGCTCCAGTAGACAAGTATGAGTCTTCGTCCGAGCCCGATCTGGAGCCGAAGCATCATGACATCGACGCTTTGCTTACGCCTTGGCTATTGCCAGAGCTGCTGCCACTGCACATCTTTTGGCAAGATTTTCTAGCACCATAGAGGTTGCATGAGGGTGAAGGGTAGGTGCTTTTGGATGTCTTAAGGATCCAGACATCCAGCAGCTTGCCTACACCTTCAAGATTGATCCCGGGCTCACGCAGAAGCTGAACAACATCATGATCGAAAAGAGGCCTGGTTTGGGCAGGCAATGGAAGCACATATGGTGAGGGCGTTGATGAACGGGATGGGGTTGAGAGGTGAGCATGGGGCTTGACCAAATGGGCCGTTTGGCAGGATGAACACATGGGAGCAAGATTTGGAGCGGTTGTACGAAATTCTTAAGGACGTGTGCTTGAAGATGCAGTGCTGGCTGCTTGAGCGCTTTTGTGGCAAAACCGCTAGCCGTTCTGTGGCGAATCTTGACACGAAGGATGCTCACACCCCTGCTGCAATGCTCAACCTCAAGGTGAAGGACATGCAGAAGGGGACCTTTGTGGGGAAGGCGGCGGATGGTTGACCGACATATCGAGCGTACCTTAGGGTGATTGCGCCAACTAAAGCTGGGCTAAAGGACCATAATTCTTATGTTCTTCCGGCTTGCATCTGGCTGGAAAGTGCCGTGAGCCGTGAGCCCAGGCCAAGTGCGGCCCAAGAGTTCGTGACCTTGCACGCAGGTGCGCTCCCCAGAGCATCAAATCTGTGAGGTCCGTTGTCCTGAAATCTCAAAAGCCCGGCGGGCGGTACTCATGAGATGTCAAAGGCGTCTAGCCACAAAGCTGACCAGAAGCATTCTTGGTTTAGAATCGAGTCAGAATGAGGCACAGGCTCGACAAAGGAGCCGCCACCAAGCTGGAAGAGGCTGCATGACCGCTTGTCGCGTGTGAGGGTAGCATTCTTTGCACCAAGCTGACGCTGCATTCCATGTAAGCTGTGCTGCCAGAGGCTTTGCTTGTCACTGCACCGGGGTGGATTCCAATTCAGCACTGAAGCCAGGCCATGTCAATGAGGGAAGCGATGGGGAAGGATGTCGAGAAGGACGCCGAAAGTCTCTCTCTCTCTCTCTCTCTCTCCCTCGCTGTGCCCCCCCCCCCTCAAGCCAATGGAGGACATCGTTTTGCTGGATGAGCACCTCACGGCCTCCAACAAACCGTCAGCCTTGATTAGCATGAAGCCAGTGCCCCAGGGCATGACCCATGTGAGCAGCCGGAAGGCATGAGCATGCCAAGCGGTCGTGACCCTTTCCTTGTTCAGAAATCTCCGGCAGACCGGGATCAGAATGAGCTGACTATGGCATGCCGGTATCAAGAAATTCGACCACGCGTGTTGTCTCTGTCGCACGGGTGTCTGTCGCTTGGAGCTCAGGTTGGAGAGCCTGCGAAAGGGCTACAACATCGGGCACTGCATCTACAGCCGTGAGCCGGTGATGGGCAACACGGGGCCGGGTGTGGACGGGGTGGTGGACAAGAAGGGCCGCGTGCGGGTCCTGGGCTACACGGACGCGGACCTCAACAGCCGCTTCGCCAGCGGGGACGGCAAGGGCGAGCAGCTGATGGACGAGGAAACGGTGCGGAAGCTCATGGCAGTGGAGAAGCGGAGGGCCCTGGCCACCGGGCGCCTGGAGAAGAACGAGGCCGCGCTGAACCTCAAGGCCGCCAAGGCGGCCAAGGCTGCGGACCGCTCCAGTCGCCGCAGCGGCAGCCCCAAGGCTAGCCGCAGCCGGAAGGCGAAGTGCAGCAGCAGCCGCAGCCGCAGCCGCAGCCGCAGCCGCCGCAGGCGCAAGCGCTCCAGCTCCAGAAGCTCGAGCTCAAGGAGAAAGAAGAAGAAGGAAAAGGTGGGTATGGGTCAAAATTAAGCCAACAGGGGACCGCAGGTTTTAGTCCATGTTTCCATTTACCGGGGCAAGCCATTTTGGGTACCTAATTTTTGACCCACAGCCAGGTGGAGAAAGCCAAGGACAAGGGCGAGAAGGGCGAGAAGGGCGAGAAGGGCAATGACAAGGAGCCATCGTGCCGAGTTGTGCCCACTGTCCTGCAGTGCCGCACCCCTCGGGCACCAGGACAAAGACAAGAAGGGAAAGGCAAAGGATAAGGCGCGAAGTCTGCCACTTCAAGCCTTCGACTGATAAGAGCAGTGCAGGTGAAAGAGAAGGACAAGGCCAAGGATGGCAAGGAGTGTTGCCAACAGTTCTGCTTTCATCCGGCTTCGGTGCTTTTTTGCAGGACAAAAAGAAAGAATAGCTGCAACCAGGCAAGCTTGTCCGAACCCATGCGGTGCCCATTGCTGCCCGTTCGCTCGGATCTTTCTGAAATGCTCCAGCTCATTCCGCCAACTTTAGTCCTCTGAGAGTACTTCCATTTGTTTAAGAATATTTTGTATTTTCCCCTGTTGGTTTTAAAAGGAATCGATCACTGTTGGAAATACTTGTATTTTTTCCACGGAGCTTAAGCAAGTGGAGAAAGAGTCAAATCTTTGGGCCTACCCAATCCCAAAGCGCGAAACATCATCGCCATCAACGAGGCGAAAGGCCAGTGATCAAATGAGGAACTTGGCAACTTCGAGCAATTTCGGACCGGGGCGAGACCTGCTCGAAATTGACGAGAGGGGCGAGCCTCTCAGAACCACAGGTCTCCCAAAAGGCACTGCGACGCTGAGATTCGCCAAGGGGCGTTAGATGAAGACTAAGAAGGCGCAATGCGAACCACCAGCAGCGGCAAAGAAGCGCCACTCGCAGAATCATGGGCATGAGTCCAAAGACCAGCCGCTGTGACGGATGGCTTGGAACTGGGCCAAGCCTCGAATCTACAGATTCGTTGTTGCAGCGGGCGTGCCGCAGAATCAACCCTGCACGACACCCTGAAACCAAACCCCAAAAACCAACTTCATCGCCCTGCGTGCTGACCTCAAAAACCATCCTGCCCCAAACACGGGCCGGGTTTAAAGTAAGCTTGACCACCCGCTTGAACCACTCCAAGCCACACAAGCCAAGCCTCCCTCGACCCAACCTATCCAACTCCCCAAGCTCACCCCACTAGCCTTTTCTCTTTTTTTTTGCACCCCACTGCCGGGGTTTCATTCAAACGAACCCATCTATGGCCACTCTCCCGTTACGGGACGTCCGAGAGGTGAGCGAGCTAGCTGTTTCACCGAGCGGGTGCCGGCTCGCTCCAGATCCGGAAGGCTGGGTCGCGAACTTCGAAGTCAAAAAGCCGCGCTTGGGTGTTCCAGGGCTTGTGGCTTTCCCGCGCGCTTCGATGGAAAACTGCCTGCAAGGGGAGAGGAGAGAGAAGAGAGAGAAGAGAGAAAGAGAAAGAGACGAGAAAGAGAGACTGAGAAGCCTGTAGCAATATGTGCCTCCGCTTGTGCGTGGCTGCGGCAGGCTTTCCTGCAAATACCTCGGCAAGTTGCAGATGGGTGGCCGAAGCAGCGCGAATTCATGCGTGGCTGCATTCTCGCATCGTGTCAGGGCATGTCAATGTGAATTGAAAGCTTCAATGCAGCAGCCTGTTGCTCAGAAACTTTGGGTTGTGGCACTTGACAAACATTGTGCAGCTGTCGCGCATGTGAGATGCGCTAAAGGCATAGCCAGACTAGGAATCTGGATGGCCAGCCCGCGGAGAGTGCGAAAAGCCAGTGGCTGCCAGTGCGCAGATTGCCCCAAAACACACGTTTTGAACCCTGGCTTCTTCCGATGTGGCGCCAGAAGGCCTTGATTCTGATTAGTTCTGGGGTCATTATTCTGACTGTTTGTGGTTATCAAAGTCAGAAAATGCTGTTGTTTTCCTTGAACCCACCACTTCGGGGATGACTTTGATCATGGTAAAACAATGAGGCCAGCGATTTGGGCATGGGTCAAGATCCAAATCGTACCCCTAGTGGTTCCAAATGGTTGGTGAATTCAGCTACCAACCAAAATGGGATCCCAAAACGGTTTTGACCACCACAGCCATTTGGATGACCTCCCCGGGTTCTTCCAGCTCTTGAGACGCCCCCCAGGGCTCAAGCTCCTTATGGCCGGCGCGGGTCGTCACCGGGGAGTGGTGAAGTTCTTCCGCGGCAGCTATGGCTGGCTGACCTGCGGCGAGGTGGCGGAGAAAACGGGGGGCCGCGACATCTTCCTGCACAAGAACCAGCTGAACTCTGCATCTTGGCAGTGAGTCCACCAGAGCCGTGGCTTTTTGAGATCGGTAGATGAGATGATCCAGCATTTTGGGGGTTGGGGTTGATGCGGCCCAGCCCGTTCAAAGCGAGTGCAGCAAGCCGCATGGTTTAGAAATTCCCATGGCCATTTCCTTGCCTTTGGATGGGATTTTGCCAGAGTCGGTTTGCCTGCGGCTCAGGTCCCAGGTCCGGGCACGACCGTTGAGTTCAGCCTGACGATCGACGAAAAGGGGCAGCCGAAGGCTTGCAACTGGCAGGGGGTCATTGGAAGGACGCATGGCCCATCTTGAAGAATCGAGGGATATTTTTGTTTGAAGGATGCGCTAAGTAAGGTATGTCTCTCATGTCTCTCTTCGGGACGTTTGAATTTGTGGCTTTCTAACCCCCATGCTTTGTGAGTCGCGAGGCCGTGGATGCCGTGGTCATTGGCGCCAAGCCGACTTCTCCAGCGCCTGCAGGCGCTGGGCCGATGGTGCCAGATGGCTTCCCTGGTACTGTCCCGACAGTTTTCGGCGTAGAGTTGGGGATGCCCTGTTGCGCCCCCCATTTGGGTATGGGTCAAAATGAAACCACCAGGGGACCGCAAGGGACCGCAGGTTTGGGTCCATGTTTCCACTTACTAGGGTTCCATTCGGGGTACCTATTCTAGACCCACAGCCATTTCGCCAGGAGATGTGAAGAAGGCGTCAGAGATGCAGGCTCGACAGCCAGATCAGGCGAAACTCTGCCACAGAAGCGGCTGAGGTGAAGCGGGCTGCGCTGATGCTGTTCCGTGCAGGGCCGAGGAAAACTTTTTTTGGCACAGCCTTTGGGCATGCAAAGCAGGTGGTGAGGAGGTTCTTGTCATCAAAGAGAAGAAGGAAGGTGAGCTTCTGTGGAGCGCCTCTGCCCCAGCTTGCTCCAGATCAAACCCCTGCGCTGCCTGTTCATCTGTGTCGCCAGGGTTCCGGCCAAGGACCTTGGAGGAAAGATCGAGGCCGGGGAGAGCCACTTGGACTGCGCAGTGCGGGAGCTCGCCGAGGACCCGAGCCTTTTGGCCCAACAGACTTGGATCGATGAATCATTTTTGCCATGGCAACATTTTCCGACTGTGGGTGCAAGCACCTGTACACACACAGCCGGGGTTCCACTTTGTGGCTCCCTTAAACCCAGGGTCAATCCCTTCTGGGGGCAAATGAACCACTGGGTTTAAGTCTACCCTGTAGTCAAAAGGAAGAACCTTGCACACAGCTGCACGTTGCAAAGACGGCAGGAGGCCGAGGGCTTCTTGTCCGCGGAGTCCGTGGCTTTGTTGCAGCAGGGCCTCCGGCGGCAATACGGCGATGGCCAGCCGCTTCCTGAGTGGGGACCAGGAATTGGACCGCAGGTGTTCGTCCTTGGTTCCATTTACCAGGGCTCCATTTCGGGTACCTATTTTTGACCCACAGCCTTATCGGTTGATTGTCAGCATAGGTGTCCTTTTTAGGTTAGTTTGGAACAAAAGGTGGGTTCCACTGGTTTAGGTGGGGTTTCTTCCATTTACCAGATGGCCATCTACTTTTTCCAAAAAGGCCACCTATGATTGTCAGTTCTCGGTAAACCCACTGAACAGAGGCTACTCTTCGAGTTCCGACAGAAGAAAACAGCAAGAATTATCTATTTTCAAAAGAGATGTGTTGGTTACTAGGTCGAAAGTGGTAGTAGAAATTCCTCTCACATGTCTATTGCACATGGATAAAGCAAGAACATAATTCTTGACCGTAGCTGCGCAGGGAGGGCATTTGCGGTGTCTAAGGCAGAGCCCGCAGCTGGTGGCCTTGAGAGGCACAGGCAGCAAGCCGCAAGCGGTGGCCGTCTTTCCCTTGGACTGCAGCGGGGTTGAGATGGATGTGGCCTCAGCCAGGAACGGACAGGCAGACAAATGCAAGATGACTGTGGTTGTCAAAAGCAGTGGGATCCCATTTTGGGACAGGTGCACCACCCATTTTAGTCTATTGTGGGTCAAAAACAGTGGGATCCCATTTTGGTTGGTAGGTGAATTCACCACCCATTCTAGAACCTACTGGCTTTTGAACCATGGGCAGACAGGTGCTGGCTCAGAAAACGGGGTGGAAGCGCCAAGAACGCGTGGGTTGTTTGGAATCTGTTTCCATTCATCTTCGCGCTGCGCAGCAAGGAACTGCTCGCACCTCCCGGGGAGAAGGGCGATGTGCACGAAATGCAGCTGGGACTGCGTGAGACACGTGTTCGTCCCAGGTATGCCCAGCAAAAAATCCTTGGGCCTTGAGGTGCTGGCTCAACCGGCACCACCCGGACCTGCGGGATCGAGCGCGGACTCGCTGGCCCTTGCTGCGCGCGATCTGTGCACTACGGGAGGCCTCCGCAGGCCTTGGGATGGTGAGCGGGTGGGCTGGTTTTTTGTCTCAGATCTGTGGGTCAAAACCAACAGCCACCAGGAATTGGACCGCATATTTTAGTCCATGCTTCCATTTGCCAGGGTTACATTTTGGGTACCTATTTTTGACCCACGGCCATCTGAGTTGAGGCTAGGGGCGCCCATCTGAAATCCCAGATACGATGGCAGTGTCAGATGCATCGAGCTCCCCATGTGCCAATTCTTGGAGCGAGTGATTCTGATTTTGACCTTGAAAGGTCGAGAGAGGTCGCGATCGCGATCGCCGCGGGCATCTGCAAAGCCATGACTCCTTTGCTGGGAGTCATGGCTTGGGTGCAGCCAGATGCGCATGCGAAGAACAGGCTTACGCATGGGGGAAAGCGCCTGATGCAGTTGCGGCAGATTCGATTGGCATGTGCAGGTGACTTTTGCTGTGTTGAAAAAGGCCAAGGGTTCCGCTCCGTAGCAGCTTGCTCTGGATCGAAGGCGGGAGAAATGCTTTCTCCCGCCGCCGGCCCATTAGAGGCGTGCGAGCCCTCCGCAGCCATGGGTCGGTGATGGCAGGGCCTTGCCCTGAGCCGCCAGAAGTAGCGCCGCCGCCTCCGCCGAACCCCCCAGCTGTCACCACAGCACCGCCAGAGCCGCCGGCGGCGCCGCCGCCAGCGGCTCCGCAACAAGCGCCGCTGCAACAGCCGCCGGCAGAGCTGGTGCCTTCGGCCGTGCATCTCGCGCAAGCTAAAGCACCGACTTTGGCGCTTTGGCCACCGGTGCAGCAGGTCCAACACCTACAATATGTCCCAACTCAGCTGCCTGGACGTGCTTTGGGAGCTTTGGGAGCGGGGGAAAAAAAGGGCGAACTGAGGGACATCACTCATTTGGGACTGGAGTCTCCTTCTGAGCCTTTAAAAATGGTTGGTCATTTCCAAAAAAATCAAGATTCGAGTCATGGACCCATCTTTGATTCGGGTTTGCCTGCGTCCTTGGCTTGAGCTGAGGCTGGCTCCACAGCTGATTCAGCAAACGCCCCATGTCCTGACTCAAATGCAGCCGCTGCAGCCGCTGCGGCCTCGGGGGACTTCCATTTGGTTAAGATGTTGTTTTAATGTTTCCTTGTTGGTTTTGAAGGGAATCTATCACTACTGGACAATTTTTATTTTTTCCAGGCGACTTAATCAAATGGAGGGGGATGCGCCGATTGGCGCTCAGGCAGTTTGCGCTGCCGAGCGCTTTGTCACCAATGGCGACGAGTCTTGGGCCTAGTCGCTGAGATCTGGCTGTGGCTCAAAATGAAGGAGCTAGGGTTACGCAGGTTTTAGTCTTTGGTTCCATTTAATTACCAAGGGGGCCATGTTGGTACATTTGTTTCAGCCACAGCCATGGCGCATGTTGACGACGACTCTGCCGCGAGGTCCAGGTGCTCTCGGCGCGGTGCAGATGGCCCCTGCTACCCGGCAGCATGAGCGCGGATGTTTGTTGGGGCCGTGCAGGCCCCCCCGCCCTCCCCGGGATGAGATGTGTCCCTGGGTTTGCGGGAGAGTCCCGCAAAGTCGCGCGGCTGGCTCGACCTAACCCCTTCGACGTGGGAAGTGCAGTGAGGAATGTATCCTTTGAGCAAGGCATACAGTAATGTAATGTCCAAGCTTGGGAAGCTTTGCAGCGATGGCGGCACATACCGCAAGTCTTGCTGCATACTTCCTACAGGTTGCCACTCCTTCAATTTCGAGCGCTTCTCCTTGAGCACCACTGCTACTTCTGTATTTGGTGGGGTGATGTTCGTGGGCTCTGAGACCTCGTTTCCGTGTGCTGACCGGCGCAATGCGCGCAATGCAAGGTGCCCCTGGTGTCCATGGCCGTGCCGTTGACCAGTCCGCTGATCCTCCAGGCGCGCGCGCTGGGAACCAGTGGCACTTGGGCCTCCTGGCGGCCAACCGGCCAGGCGCAGGGCGCTCCGCTGGAGCTTGGCTTCAGCAAGGACATGGCCGGAAGCCGGCCGTTGAGAGGACATTGGCGGAATGAGAGGCGTCGTTTGACCCTTCCCAGGAGCAATGCGCCAAGATCATTTGGCTGCAGCAGGAGTACCAAGCTGCAGGACGTCGTGACATCACAAGCTAGGGCAGCATAGATACTGATAGTTTTTGCAGGAGACGCTTCAAGTGCAGCTCTTGTAGCTCGATATGCGGCCGCCGGTGTGGACTTGAGCGCTTACTTGGAGGCGTCCAACCCACTTGCGCCTGCCTCTTTGGTTGGGCAGAAGTTGTTGCCAGGTTGTTGCTGCTGACCAGCCGCAGATGCATGACCCGTCCAGGCAACTTGCCACTCCATGCGCGCTTCAATTCAATCATCGGGAGCTTGAGGCAAAAAGAAAGCGTGTTTTTTTTAGGGGGCATGGGAGTCCAACTCGGGCTTTTCCTTCGATTTCTAGAAGTGTGAAGTCGGGGGGCAAAAGCAGGCCAGCCAAGGCCTTCCCTCGCTCCCCGATCCTCCCGGCCTCAGGCGCTTTAACGGGACGGTGCGGAGCTGGAATCCGGACGGAGGGTTTGGCTTCATCGTGTGTGCGGAGTCCCGGAAGGTCTACAACAAGGAAGCGGAAGCATGCAGAACCAGGTGCTTGATGTTGACCCCATATCAGTTAACTCTGTTTAATATGGGGGTGGGGGCCCCTCCAAAAGTGATGATTCCCCACCAAACCCCAAACCTAGGGACACCTCCCTATTAATAAACTGGGACATCATACATCACCCGTGACACCAACGACTTGCAGTGCTTGGTTGAGAATCCTGGGCGGAGGGCTCCGTGGGTGCAGTTCGGTGGGAAGCCTGGTGATAGTGGTTGCATCAAAGAGCTGATGGTGGTGGTGGTGGTGGTGGTGGTGGTGGTGGTGGGTCGAAGGCTGTGTGGCTGAGCCTGATGTTGCACGAGCATGGCAGGAACGAGGTTGTTTCAGCCGCGAATATTTGTGTTGCATTTTGAAGATCTAGATCGGTCCGGGCAAGCGAAAAGACAGCGGCTGCAGCTGCAATCAACCCAAAGCTTCTGGCACGGGAACACGACGTATCCGCAAAAACAGCACGCAAGCTAGGAATAAGTTCACTACCGGAGACAAATTCGCATTTGGCCTGAGCCGGCAGCAAACATTTGCTATTTACGCGCAAGTTTTTTGCTTTGTTTGTTTGTTTGTTCGTTTGGTTCTTTGTTTGCTTGCTTGCTTGTTTCTTTGTGCAGTCTGCTTGGCCCTGAGCCTTACTCGTACACGTTCGTTCCAGCCCTGAAACCCCGGACATGGGGAAGCTGCACCGCGGACCCGGCAGTAAGAACTGTCCGGTGCCAGGCGCGCACCAGGGTCCAAACTAAGGCGAGCGGTCCGCGTATGAAAGGCTCGGGCACATGCATGCCTGTGTTTGGAGCGTGCTGACGCAGACACAGTTCGGCAAGGTTTGAGGAAGCGACACAACAGCCAAGAAGTTAGATAGTACCGCGTGACTTTACTCGGAGAAGGAAATGCCAGTGAGAAGAGCAGCAACTCTTGGGCCTGCCCACCCGCACCTGAGCCTGCAGGCCAAGGCAGCGCCCCATCCTCGCAGACTCCATAGGAAAGTGCCCAAGGCAGCACACGCGCTCGGAGACGGCTCACCAACACGACCCGATCAGTGTAACAGTGTACCCTTCCAGCAGCAGGAAGACCCAAACCCGTGTTCCCTTCGAAGCAGGGTGGAAGAAGGGTTGACGGGAAGGGCGCCGCGCGTGAGCGACACCTTGGCTGCCTCTTCCCCTCTGCACAGTTGGTTGCGGCCACTTGGGAGCAGTTGCGTTATGGCCCCAAAGAGTGCAGCGTGCAGGATATATTCCTCCACAAGTCCGAAATTGGCCACGAGCCTGATTTGTACAAGCTCCGCCGAAGGCAGGCGCACAGTTGTTCAAGCACAAGTGCGCAGCTGTGACTTTTTGTATCTTGAAGGCTTGAGTTCAAGGATGGAGAGCCTGTATCCTTCCAAGTGGAGTACGACGATAAGCAGAAGCCCAGGGTCCAGACCCCAGACACGGCTGTATCTAAAGTGCCCCTGGTGCTTAGTTTTTTTTTGCGCCGTTGCTTGCGCAGCGCAATCGCCAGACAATGCAAATCAACTTCTTGGCGCATTTTTGCCATCCGGGTTTTGGCAAATGAAAGTATCAGCCCAGCAACCTGCTCTATGGCTCTATGACTCCTGCGGTTTGAGGGGCCTGGTGGTTGGGGTGTCCATGCTTGCCCCAAGAGTTCTGGCCAGCGTGCCCAGGCCAAGCACGTCGAGCTCTTGAGTCAGCCCAAAGAGGAGCTGCCAGAGATTCCGCAGGACGGAGCCTTGCCCCAAATGGAACCCTGGTAGATGGAAACAAAGGCCAAAAAATCTGCGGTTTTCCTGGCGCTTTAATTTGGCCCATACCCAATTCACAGCAAGACAGGGACAAACATTGAAGTCTAACCACTGCCCAGGAAGCCAGACGACTCCACTCTTGTTGCCAGGAGGAAGCACCGCCGCCGCCGCCAAAGAGACGCAGACGGCGGACAGACAATGACGATCAAGTAAAACAAGGGGTAAGACATATTGCAAATACCGATGAGTTTTCAAGGAAGGTAGAGTTCTCAAAAAGTTTATCGAAAAAAGGCGCTTGCGGTCCTAACTCAGACATGATCTCTCTCCCGAAAGCTGCCCTCCAGGCTTGCCTCGGCGAGAGGGTGTGGGATACACCAGGTAGCGGGAAAAACGCATGCCGAACTTTTTAAAACATACACGAAGAGGCCTCGCTTGAGGTTTCTGAGAGGCTAACATGGGCGACGAACCATCCATGTATCTATACGGGGATTGGGTGGGGGGATTGGGTGGGTCGAGGTGCAAGTTTTGAACTTTGCCGGGATTGGGCGGGACGATGTGCGAAAGCTGAAGAGAGCCACAGTTTAGATATTTTTGGAAGCAAAGTGCTTCGCAGGATGAACCGTTTGGTGGGATTGGCTGAGTCATGCGGTTTCGGGTGAGCTGGGCGGGTCGAGGTGCAAAGTTGACCAGGATGAAGCCTCTGCGGGCTGGGATGGGGGGGAGGTTGTTTATTCGGTCCCTGGATCTATTCCGGAGAGAGTCCAATATGCCAATATGGATGATTGGACTGGTGGATTGTCCTTTGGTATAATCCTGTAAGCGGCCTGCAAAGGTTCCTTTGTCACGCAATCATGAGTATTGCTATGATACAAAAGGGCCTTGAGCCAAATGGTTGCGGGCGATCAATATTGGACACAAATTTCTTTTGATCGCTGGCACTAGATATGAAATATCTTTGGCTTCTTGGCCTTCGGCCGTAGCCTTGATTTATGCCGTAGCCATGTGTATTGAAATGCGGAATTCATCCTGTTTTCTGCGCGGATGAAATGTCTTGATTTGCAGAATGGAAAACAGTCTGTACTGATTCTGTGAGATACC